CACTATTGCATGAATCTGACACGTATGTATTCTATCCCAGCTCATCAACGTATCTTCGGGGGTAGGTGCAGCCCTTAACCAATGCCTGAATTCGCCACTGTACGTATAACTGGCGCATTACATAACTGTTTACGAGCATATTTTTTCTATTAGACTGTATACATATACATGTATAAAATTATATTGCATAATCCCTACTACTTGTATTTATATTCTTTCCACTGCAATTTATGTATTAAGCGCTTGGTACTTATTTATAACATTGTCGCCCTCTGTATTTTAACGTATAACCACGATGGTCCTAACGGTATTCCGTAATATATACATGTACGGAAAATTCCGATGATTGGCGAATCATGGGAAAAATCCATTGATATCGATAACAGAGTTCTCGCCCCTTAACAGTTCACAAATCGCTATACATTGTTTAAATTGTTTATCATAATGTAAGATGATCAAACATAATCCACAAAGCCTAAGACACCGTAACAAAATCCATCAAAGACCAAAAATAGTCAATTTTAAATGACTTCTACATAAAAGTAATACAAAAAAAACTAAACCGTAAATAGTTTGTATAGAGCATGAAGAAAGGCAGCTTATACATAAAGGCATACGACGTTAACATTTTAGTATTCCAAATGGCTTGTTCCAGTTTAATAGTTATCACTCAATGAAAGAATTGGTCACTACGAAATGTTTGAATGACATAATGAAAAATGGAATCCAGAATAATGCAACGTTTAAATATCATAAAGCAATATGGAATCAATCATAATGCAAGTTCTAATTTCATGTAGCAAGATGGAATTAAGCATAATGCAAGTTCCAATGTCATCAAGCAAGATGGAATTAAGCATAGTGCAAGTTTCAATGTCATCAAGCAAGATGGAATCAAGCATAATGAAAGTTCCAATGTCATCAAGCAAGATGGAATTAAGCATAATGCAAGTTCCAATGTCATCAAACAAGATCGAATAAATGCATTAATTCTGTTCCATAGTTCTGACAATAAAGTGTTTTTGTTAAAACCACTCTCGAGTATTCTAGAAATCAGAATGAAGTAGGATCTAATATACACTACACGGATTAGCACTATATATATTTACCGGACGTTGTTTCATAGACACTTACATTTGACTTTCTTCTTTCGTTCTTTCTTTTTTTTCTTGCATTTTTTCTTTCTATTGTTCTTTCTTTCTTTCTTTCTTTTCTTTCTTTCTCGACTGAAAACTCCGATTATTAAGTTGTAGATTATTGAATGGTTGTGGGTAAACTATTTCTTCCGGGGGTAGCACCTCCTACATTTTTAAAGGATTTCCAGTAAACTGGAGCGATTGCGATCAAGAATCATTGCACATTTTGTCGAATTAGTTTTATTTGATAGTCTCTGGCTGTATTATATCTACTTGTTTCTAATTTATGTTAGTTTTGTTGAACGCCTAGTTTTTTGACAATTTTAATTGCTTAAGTTATGAATGCGGTATAGCAAACGAACGCTATTGCGAACTAAAGTCAGTCGAGATTATCCATTTAACTCTTTGTAAAAGGTAAAGAAAACATGTCGGTATTAAATCGTATACCAATACATGTACATGCGTTAAGTGGAATGGAGGTATTAGTTACTCGCACTCTATCTGTCTGTCTAGAAAGTATGAAATCTTCCTTACTACGATATATTTTTAAATTTTCACAACGTTTATCTCTCTTTTGAATCAAATCAAGTACATTTTGTAAATCACTGCTCATCCAAGTTTCATTTTGATTATGCGTGTGCCTTCCTGATATTTGGGGTTAAGTCAATATCTAAAAAAATAGACTTCAGGCCACACAGAATAAGATGGTAGATTTAAACTTAATCTCAGTCCCCGTACTCATATAGGGAGTGCTCTGTGGTCAGTTTGAGGAGGTTGGTTGGTTACGAAAATTTCCTTATTCTTGGTCATGTTCATAAGATACAAAACAATAGCACACCTAGTTATTTAAACGAGCACACTTTCAACTTGCAAATGAAGTACACTCTTAATAGATAGACTAAGTAACATATATTCTATTCCAAGAGTTAAGGGTTTCGAAAGGAAAACATTTGTATATTATGTTTGTCAAAATAAGACAGGTTACCAGCACATCTTACGTGATAATTTAAAAAAATTAAAGGGACATTGTATGAAATCAAAATTTGTTTAGTCCTTTTAATACAGTCATTTTACTTAAATTGTCTTTATTTTTTATGTTCGGTGCATATTTTAGTAGAACTTATTAATTGTCAGACATATCTGTCATAATTATGAGTATAATACACGCGTGATAAAATGTGCGATGTAATTACTGATGTGCAATAATTGCTATAAGAATCAAAGAAACTTGTGATTGAATAATTTTTGTTCAATATTCGATAATTGTTATTTTTTGCCTTTCTGGTGTCATATGATCAATTTTTAGGACTCAAAATGGAAATAAGTCTTTTTATACCTTCTTTTAGTGGCATCCTTGGTATTAAAGATATGGCATCAACACATGCACTTTAACTTCTACATGTATCTCTTAATGTTGACATTAAATTTATAGTTGTTTTATGACATGTATGTTTTTTACCAGAATAAAACTATCCATCTGTAGAATACTCTTTGATTGGGTGTCTTTTCTAGAGGTTGACTTAATATGACTACGGGGAAAGAGATAAAGATAGAAAAGTCATGCACATATGCTCGTACATAGGTTACTTTCTTTTGGAGTTTAATATTGCGTCAACGAGGAACGTGTTTTTATTTTTGCATAGATACAAAAGAGTAAGAACATCAAAACACTCGCCAATATGATTTATACTCGGAGGCTATGTCCTGTTGTACAAATCAGAAAGCCTCGTGTTCTTTCTATAACTTAATCTTTAACAGTATCTGCTGGAACCTAAAAGTGATGGATTTGTCTGTGTGACCAGTATAAAGCTATACCATAATCTGTGTTAAATGTATTGATTATTTGAGTCGTGTCACGACAAAACCAACATAGTGCGTTTGCGCAGTCTGATCAGGATCCATGCTGTTCGCTATCAGTTCCTCTACTTGTAACAGAGTTGGTAAGCGAACAGCAGGCTGGTCGGGATCCATGCTGGTCGCAAACACACTATGCTGGTTTTGTCGTGACACGGCTCCTTTATTTAAGCTGGCAATAAAACAAACAGTGATCGGAAGTGAAAGATGCTTGCGCTAAAAATAAAATCATATAATATCACGATAAATGATACAGTGAGTAAATGGCTTGACCAGTAACAACAGTTGTTGTTTAAGATTTCAGATTGTTTAACGCCGTATTTCTCATATCAATTCGGATTTAATTTAACTCATTACAGGACTGGAGCAGTACCTCTAGACGCTTGCAGAAATCATTGTCACAAAATAGACAAATATCGTTTTTTTCTTCTGCTTTTTTTACATTTTCATTTATTATCATACATAAAACGGTTGGAAAAGGTAAATTAGACCTTTTAAAATTCATTCAATTGGGTAAAAGGAAAATTTTTAGCATTAAATCATTCAATTATACAGGAATACGGTATTTATTGTGGTGCTCCAGTCCTTTTTAGCCTGTCCACCGGTGCCCTGTCATATCGAGGTCCGATAGGTTATCTGTCCTGTCCCGTCATATTATTTCTTTATTGTTTTTACTTTCAAGCATATTGATACATCTTGAACACTTCGTATATTAATATAATATGATAATTTGATATCGAAAGTATGACTAGAAAAACCAAGCAGTTGCAATTTCTGTGCTTAAGTGGATGACCTGTTAACCGCATATAAAGTGCTTTTTCTTGTAATTATCTTAGTGTAGCAAAAGGCTGAGTACCTACTGTGATTACGATTGTTTAAGAAGGAAGTAAACTCAATTTTTTTATATACTTGTAGCCTCTTACAAAGCCACATAATGACAATTTTTTAAAAGGATTGTATTAAAGGGAAGAAACTAATCTTTACGAATGCGGTTTAGTTAATATGAAGTGATATTCTGTGGTTAACATAACTGACTTTCATAATAAACACTGTACAATGAAATTAAGAGGGCACAATAATAAAGAACGGTATTTTTTATTTCCCCCATTATGCTGAAAGAAATGCAATTATTTTATTATCAAAACGAAACAGCACGACGACATGAAGTGGAGTCTTTTCTCGTCTTTTCTTTCCTTTTTTTTTACTCTGAAACCATAAAAAACATATACGTGTATTAATTAACACTGTATGCCTCCATATGAATCAAAATATTTGAAGAAAAATCAAAATTGAAAAAAATGTTCAAAGAGTTAAAGCAGAGCAAAACGATTTTAGATTTAAGTAATAATTTACATGTTATGCGCGATCAATGACTGATCTTGCAAAATGTATCACCTATTGTTTTCTGCGTGACTAACGTAGAAATGGCTATTTTCTTTCAACTTGAATGCATATTTCGACGTCTATTTCATGTAGTTTTCGTGAATTTTACCGTTTGCAATGTGTAAATTACGTTGTTTCTGTTTTTCATTTCACAATATTTTACTTTAAAATATATTTTTATAAAATTGAAAATTAGCATATAGCTAGATGCATGCTGCTTTACACGTTTATGTTTTCATTTTACAATGTCACAATGAAGTAGTTAAAATCATATGACGAAACACCGTCTTTACTGGTGTAGGAAAAGCCCATTTAACTCTCCTTTTTTCAGTCAGGATTTGGAACCCGAGTAGAACCACCGATATTCCTGTGCAGCCGCTTTACGAGAAATAGATCAAAGTTCTTTCTTGTCAGGTGATAATGAAGAAGAAATGACTGACTAAAGTAACCCGGTCCGGATTTAAATCATTATACATTTTGTTATAAGTAATTAAAACACAACCACAATCACCAAGATTTTTTTTCAGATTTGATGACATTTTATTAAAATTAAAAACTCTTCAGATAACCAGCGATCGTAATTACCCGGATTTCAGTGCTACCTAAATTATCAATGAATCAACTTACTGTATTTGTCAGATTTTGGATGTTTAAATATTCTAATAGTGTCCGCCGCCGCCACCGCCTTTTCCTCCTTTGTAACCGCCATAACCGCCACCACCTCCTCCGATACCGCCGCCACCGAGTGAGCCGAATAAAACTTGGATGATCAATATAAACACAAACACTGAAAACATACGAGATCAATATAAACACAAACACTGAAAACATACGTGATCAATATAAACACAAACGCTGAAAACATACGTGATCAATATAAACACAAACACTGAAAACATACAATTAGACAAACTAAAAAGACTTGAAGTTATATTCACAAAATAGCGAACAGTGAAGATCATGCCGTGGCCGTATCGGTAATAGTGGCCGCCTGCAAGATAACGTAACACTGATATATGTTTGAAATCATTTGAAAAGACATTTTTTAAAGACATACTATTCTTATCCTTCAGTAAAATATTTTAATCACAGAAATTTATTGAAATCAATAAAATTCTGACAAAATATATCTTATTTGAATAAAAGAAAGAATAAACAATATGAGCCGCGCCATGACAAAACCAACATAATGGGTTTGCGACCAGCATGGATCCAGACCAGCCTGCGCATCCGCGCAGTCTGATCAGGATCCATGCTGTTCGCTATCAGTTTCTCTACTTGTTATAGGGTTTGTAAGGCTGGTCTGGATCCATGCTGGTCGCAAACCAATTATGTTGGTTTTGTCATGGTGCGGCTCAATTATATTGGGAGCTGTGTTCCATAATACATGTAAAGTGGTCCTTTTTTAAAGAACTGCCAGTGTTTTTAATGGCACTATATATTCAAACTGTGACCACCTATAGTGTTTAGAGTTTTAAACAAAACATATCTACTCTGTGTTATGCCAAAACATGTTTATTTTATATGTACATATCAGTCTGTCATAATACCTTTCCTTCTAAAAAGGCATAAAGGGAGGATATAACATTTTGTATTGATTGAGTTGAAAAAATTATATAAGTATAGTTTTAAGTTTGCCTCTTTTACAGTGTATCTTTGAGAGATTTGAAATCATGTGGCTTTTGTTGGCTAAATTTTGTAACAATTTTGAGTCAACAGACAATTGTACTTCTTTAAATGACCGGGTTTATGATAAGAGGGAGAGTGCGTGTGGTTAGAACGAGGTTTTCTTGTACATTATGTTTTGATCCGACAATGGCTGTATTTGAGCCACGTCACGACAAAACCAACATAGTGCGTTTGCGACCAGCACAGATCCAGACCAGCCTGCGCATCCGCGCAGTCTGATCAGGATCCATGCTGTTCGCTATCAGTTTCTCTACTTGTTATAGAGTTGGAAAGCGGCTCATTTTTATTTGGAATTATCACAAGAAGTATTGCACCTCAAAATATCTCTTAACAAAAGGAAACATGTCAATGTTAGTGGTTCAATCTTTTTTTATTCAAATAAAAGGTCAGAGTAGGGATTTATCAATCAATTTAAATACTTCGGAAAATCAATGTAGAATTGTAGAATGCAGCTGTTGATGCAGTTGTAAAATGGAAGCAGAAAAGTTTCGAACAAAGAACAATAACGGCAAAAAAAAACAAAAAAAAACAACAACAACAACGACATAAAACAAAAAAGTTTGTGTCGTCTCGAATCTTGTGAACTACAACAGTTCAGCTCAAGCTATAATATTTGTTTTGATTTTCCATGCTTCGAACAGCCCAGGGTTTTCAATATCAAAAATCTAATTTTAAGCTGCTACCAGACTGCACCGCAGTGTAGGCAACATCGGTTCTAAACGGATGGAAAATGTTAACCGCTTGTTAAGGACCCAGAACAGGATCACTATACAATTAAAATAACAGCGACGTTCAAACAAAAACTTACGGAAAATGATCATCCCGAAAATACCGCCACCGCCAAATCCGCCTCCACCGCTACCGCCGCCAAAGCCATAGCCACCATAACCTCCTCCTTGCTGTCCATAGGCCATTGGCATCATTTTGCCGCCCATCATATACCCGCCGGCTTGGGTTAGGGCAATGCCGGTCACACACATAACGGCCAAAAACGCTAACGACGATAGTTTACCCATGCTTAGAAAGAAATAAAATGTTTCATTATTTAATTCTGAAAGATTTAGAGAGAAAATAAAAAACGCGTATGTATAATACTCATTATAATCATTACCACTACGTCAAAAATAGAGGTTAATACTTTATAAAAGTTTATTTTTCATTCATCGCAGTCTGAAGATTATTCTATGTTTTAAGCCCAGACTGTCTAAGACAAAAAAGTAAGAAAAACAACAAAGAAGAACGACAAAAAGTAGAACTATTTGATACTCACATTTTAGTATGGATTCTTCCCGCGGAGTGATCAGAAAAATCAAACTTGTTTGCCTTTTTATATAACCAATGTACATGTGTTTTATAACCGCTTCCTGATGCTCACGGAAAGTGGTTACAAAACATGCCGGAATTTACCCAAAGGCTGTTAATACATATATATGTTTTTTTTATTAAAGAAAAGTTTACGTTTCAGCAGTAACGTCATATTAATGTATAAGAATTTGTAACGTAGAGACCACGATATTTTATTTTCACCAATGCAATCAATCATTTAACTATTTTTGTATTCACAAACGCAAAACAGGAAAAGCAAGCTTAAACCAATGGAATTAAAATTGTATAATTATGTTATCAAATATTTGGGGAAAAATCAGATATGAAATTTTATATCAGTAACTTTTTTCGTCTGTGTACAAGGTATACAATGTATTTTCAAACTGAAAGTTTGATTGGTACATCCTTAAATTGTGGATATCTTTAGATCAGATATATTTCATGTCTGAGGGAGTGGAGATAGGAAGGGGGATTGGAGGGGAAGAGGGGTTTGGGGCGGTTGCGGGCCAGATGAGCAATCCGACATGACTCTGTTAAAGCTGTAGCGGAATGGTGTTTTAAGGACTTGTGCAATTAAGATCATGTATTGTTCTCTTTTTCAAAATGAAATAATATTGATACGTTGAAATTCAATTTTTTTACTTTTCTCTAAAAGCTACATTGTTAGCTTTTATATGGCAACTTCACAAAAGCCTTAGAATATGATTTTATTTCAGTCTCAAATGTACTACGATTTATCGGCTATATTTTTGACACATTTTACATGTACGACGTCTTAATTTCACCACAGACCATGCATTCGCAAGAATATCAATAGCCCTTTCTAATCTCTTCTCATTATTATCACTTTCAAATATAGTTATGCCTATTTTCTTTTAAGATATGCCAGATCAGCAAAAACGATAGATAAACTAGTTTTATATGTTTTGAAACAATTTATTTTTGGTATGTATGGTATACATATAAATAAGATAATCTATGTTATACTTGTAAATGAAATATTGATAAAATAAAATGTGTATTTTCATTTTCTGTATGTTCACTGTGAAAAACTTATTTTTCACTGCAGTAAAACATATTTTCCGTATTTTCACTGGTGTCTTATCGGACTATTTTCTTCCATTAATATACAAACTATAAAGGAAAGTCTTTCCGATTGTAATGTCAAAAAAAGAAGAAAAAATGTATATAATAAACAGAAAATTAAAGTTGATTTTCCTATAAAAACACATTTATTTATATCTTGTGGTATGAAAATTATCATATTTCACACGTGGCTAACCCCGCTCATGAATTTTTTATTTTCATACCACTGCAAATAAATCCTGTTTTTATACAAGACACTTGACTTATACTCTATGGATTTATAGAAAAAAGAATATCCTCTATGGAGTTAAGACATAAAACTTTTGCCGATATAAATGGATTCTGCGTTATGCCCCAGCAATACAATACCAGGATAATTTGCATAGTTCCACATTTTGTTAATGATGGACCAACCACTTTTATAAAATAGGAAAGGCAGGTCAGTTATCCTTATAAACTTACGAACTGGAACATATACTTTAACATTGCCCTTACAACCCTTGTATTTATAATGCCAAAATCGATATGGATATCAAACAAAGTGATAGTTTGACACCATCTATAAAGTATACAGTCTGAAGTTAATCATATCCGGTTCCGGTAGTTCCGAAGACCGGGAAAAAGTACCTAAATCCTCGATGGTCGCCAATATACCGACCAAAGCAGAAGAAAAACTATACTGTATTAAAATACCAGTCGAGATATACTAAGTTTGGTTTAAACATATTTATTTCCAAAAAAATTATATAATGTACATACAAATAAACAACAAACGTATTTTACATAATTGAAAAGGATAAGAACAAAAGACTCTAAAGATTCTATTTCTATGAGCATGTAAGAATGGATATAAACGTTTTTACTTTTTATGTATAATTATTATAGTACAATAATGCAATGTTTGTTAATTTATTTAGTAGGCAACGTTAATAATATTAGTTATAAAGACATTTGACAGGTTATATGGTCCTTTATAAACGGTTGTTTGTAAATATAACCCGAACCGCTAGGTCACGATTATCAAATAAAAAGCGACGTTACAAACGTGCAGTATTATTAAGAGGTTAATACACGGCAGGAGAGGGCCGGAAGGTGATAATCGGCCCGCAAAATGAATAATGGACCCGAGGGCTTTAGCCCGAGAGCCATTATTCATTCAGGGCCGATTATCACCATCCGGCCCTACGCTGACGTGTATTAATGTCTTTAATACACTTGGTAGATCTAATAGTAGCATTTAAAAAAAACTAGAAAAAAAAAAATAACAAAAACATAATCAAAACAAATAGACTTTGAAGTTCTTTCGTTGAAATTCTTGTCTACTCTTCTTCTGTTCTGTACAGAGATGTTTTCTGTTTGTGTGTACCAAGAAGCAAGTTTTATTTTCATTTTTTTCGGAATGAATTTGTCGTATTATTTCTTCAAATTTCAATAGTAACAAAAATGTGTTTGTACTAAATACGCTTAAGGCATCATAATAAAAATAAAGCGATTCGTGCTGACAACCTACTTTCACTTTTACAGTTAACTGTTTGATGACGTTAAATGTGACGTCATTGTATCAGTTTGTGCACGTGCACATGTTCTGCGGGCTGATAACTAGTTCTCGGCCCCGGGCCGCAAACTCATAATAGGTCACGTGACACTCATAATCAGTTGAAATCATAGGCAATTTTGTTACTATATATAGTAACAAGTGTATTAAAAAGTATTTTTTTAACGTTTAAATAGTTTTATATACACGACTGTTGTCAATTTATAAAGAAATCTCACTTTGTTCTCTAAAAAAGAAATTTGCAGTATTAAAACTATGTTATAAATATTCCTGACAGGTTATATGGCCGTATATAAACGGCAATTTTGCAATATGACCCTCGCCTAGAATTAATAATACTGCAATCTTCTTTTTTTAGAGAAAAAAGTGAGATTTCTTTATACATTGACAGCAGCCGTGTAAATGAAACTATATAAACGTCTCGATTATCCAATAATAAGGGACGTTACAAATGTGCAGTATTATATGGACCATTTACATTGCCATTATATAAGCCATATAATCTGCCAAAAAGCTGTATAACTAATAAAATATAAAAAAAACCCAACAAAAAAAAAAAAAAAAAAAAAAAAAAAAAAAAAAAAAAAAACAGCAGCAAGAACAACAACAACAACACACAGAAATTAAGCCATATCTTATATAAAACATATATTAAGTCACACATCTTATCATTTTGATGCAGGTTTTGTTACGCTTGACATATTGTTTTAGAAATTTGATTTGTTGAACACGTTTTACTCGTCTGAAGGTGAGCAGCTTTAAAAATGAAGTTCTTGCCAAATGAAAGAAACGTGATATTAATCAATATTACATGGCGCTTCAGGGAGTTAAAATTATGATATTTAATTCGTATATATATTGCCACTGATAGCTTCCGGTCAAATTGAAGTTTATGTATCGCATCAAAACCTTATAAATCAACTGAAATTAATATTTTATCTTTCATTTACTGAGCGATAAGGAAATTATGTAGTTAATTTACAAATGTCACCTAGACATATGTTTTATCGACTATTTTTACGTAAACATGTTCAATTTTAGTAAAGACATTTTATTTTTCATTATCATCAGTTACTTTGCCGCTTTCCGCAAATAAGTTAATACATATAAGTTTAAAGGCACTCAAACCCGTCATTCACAGCTTGATATATTAATAGTCATGCTGCTTAATAATTAAAGTCTAACTGTTTCATAGTTACAGTCCGGTTGCTTAACAATTACAGGCAAATTGCTTTAAATTTACAGTCATTTTGCTTTATATTTAGTAACGTTTTGTCAAATCTATATAAAGACATGATGTTTCATACCTAAATTATGTTGCTTCATATCTATAGTTCTGTTGCTTCATATCAATAGTCATGTTGCTTCATATCATGTTGCTTCATTTCTTTATACATGTTGCTTCATATCTTTAGTCCTGATGCTTCATATATATATATAGCCATGTTACTTCATAAATATAGTCATGTTGCTTTATATTTATATAGTCATGTAATTTCATGTCTATAGTCATGTTGCTTCATATTTATAGACATGTTGCTTCATATCTATAGTCATGTTACTTCATATCTATAGTAATGTTACTTCGTGTCTAAAGTCATGTTGCTTCATATCTATAGTCATGTTGCTTCATATCTATAGACATGTTGCTTCATATCTATAGTCATGTTACTTCATATCTATAGTCATTTTGCTTCATATCTATAGTCATGTTGCTTCATATCTATAGACATGTTGCTTCATATCTATAGTCATGCTACTTCGTGTCTAAAGTCATGTTGCTTCATATCTATAGACATATTGCTTCCTATCTATAGTCATAATACTTCGTGTCTAAAGGCATGATGCTTCATATCTTTAGTCATGTTATTTCATATCAATAGTCATGTTTCTTCATCTCTATAGTCACGTTGCTTCATATATACAGTGATACTCTTTCATATTTTATTTCATGTTGCTTCACATTAGAGGCTTATATGATCTAAATAAGGTCTTTTTCACACAAAATTAACATAATACACAGACATTTATTAGTTACCATCATATCACTTAAAGAGATCAAGGCTATAACAAGACAATATCAAAAGGAAACAAAATGAAAAGAAAATTCCCAACTATTTAGTAAACATAATTCATATAGTCCATTACAAGAGTTGACAAATTTGTTCTCAATGAATAATTTGATTTTCATTAATTAAGCGGGTCACATTTAAATATACATGTATCATCATTGAATTATGAATTAAATTGTTTATCTTATAAAATAATATTTATGACACGTAGTGAAGTGTGTAAAGAGGCTTTGAGGTTAAAATAAATGTCCTGCTCTCTAATGACCTGACACGTATATGTTAACAAAGGTACACATACAAAATGTCAGACGTGACCCATCAGATATAAAATGTAAGATCACATTAAAAGGTAATTGACTTCATATATTATTTAGGTGGTGGAGTAATAACCGCGATCAGAATTGTCATTGACTTCTTTTTATAATTAGTATATAACATAAAAAAAGAAAGAGAAAACAGAAAGAAAAACTAACCAAATGCATTACTTAATGTGTTTAATATCGGCACAGCGCTTTTAATTTTTTACCTACTGATACAAAAAGTGTTAAGTCTTTGCCACTAGTAGAGAGCAAGGCCAATCTGAACATCCAGCCAGTCTAACCAGACTATATACCTTTAACCCATTACGCGATATACACGCCTTTTAATGCCTTTTTCATCCCCCTTTTGTCGTCTCAAATGGTGAAAAAATGCCTTATTTAGGCCCCCAACACTTGTTTTTGTTTGAGAAATGTTGTTAAAAAAGTGGCCACTTTTTCGGCGCGTCCCCCCAACCAAAAGATACATCAGGGGTTGCCAGAAGGGGGATGTACCCCCTTCTGTTTTGGGGTTTTGAAGGGGGGCGGAGTCCCCCTGATCGCCAAGAAATTTAGGACTTGTGAGAGGCTATAAATGACCCCAGATTGATCATAATGTAACGTGTAACCAACGCTGAAAAGCATCTGACTCTATCTCAATCCATTGAGAAGTTGCAGCACTTTGAAATCAATTTTGATGGAAAAAATCAACGCAAAATAGTGATTTTTGGCAATTTTGAGATGTCCCCTCGTTGCCATGGTAACAGAAAATTTAAGCCAAGCCTGAGCATGTTGTTGCAAGGGCAATGGTCCAGTCAACATTTGTGCCAAGTTTGATAAGTAATGAAGCAGTTTTTATAGTATAATAGCAATTTGAACTTGTAACGGGAGACTTTTCAATGAAAACAGCCATTTTTCACAAAATGCTCATGAAGTAATGGGTTAATCTCTACCTTCACATCCGAAAACAGGACACTTATAAAAATAGAAACTGGGCAAGTTCATTAAGGAAGTTGCATAAATACTTATTGATAAAAGGGATAGATACAAGTACAAAATACAGAAACTATAATTCTTAGGTTAATGATCCACTCGATTACATCTATTGCATCATTTTTTTGTGCAAGATAATTGCAAGCGAGAGAACACCTAGAGGTAGAGACTTAACACCAATACTGATATATATTCAACTTATACTAATTAATGTTGTCAGTCAAGCCAACTAGGTCATTCAGGAAAAAAAATCAAAAAAATTTGCAAATAGGAGATAAATGAAAAAAAAAAGATATGGCTAAATAGTATCTAGATGTCAGTATCTACTTTGAAAGTTTCATGTTAATCTTTTGGATAATTTTGAGTTATGTTTTAGAAAAGAAAAACCACAATAAGGGAATGATTACGTATACGGAACATTCTTCTTTTTGCTCGGTTTTGGTATTTGAAGTCAATCCTCTCAATAGTATGCAATAAAAGTTGTATCTCAGTAAAGATAATGAATAAAGAGAGATAACAACAAAACAGCAGGGAATGATTTTTATTTTTCTCATGACACGTTTCAATTACCATCTTCACTGTATCACTTTTTTAAACTACAAGAACAATTTGTTCAAAACAAGTCAAAATGTATCTTCTTTTTTTCGAAATTATGATAATTTAATTCAGTATAATTTATTCAAAATTAAACACACGAAAAACACTTAAAGTATAGTTCTCCAGATGCACCAAGATGTTTCTAGAATATCAAACTTGGGCAAAAATTGTATAAAGATCTTAATAAAAGTAAAAAAAGTTTTGCTAAGGGCAATTTTGCATATTTTGACCTCTTTATTGTAAACAACGTGGATTTAAGTGTCGTTTGCATTGTGTTATTTATCTTTTTTGTTTACTTTACTATATATTACATTTAAGTACATTTTCAAAATGTTTAAGAAACTTTGCATGAATCTGGAGCTCTATTAATTTATAAGACATATTAGTGTAAAACAACTTAAATCAAAATTCAACAAAAAAAACAAAAAAAAACAACAAAAAAAAAAAAACAATACAATAGAAACCTTCTCTACTTTTATGACATTATTTTCACTTTCAAATTACTCATATCGTATTCGTGTAACTTTTTTACACACGTTTTCAGTTAGAAAAAAGGGAAACATCTATAATCTTTATAAGTATCAACTTCTAATAAATCTTGACATTTATGTTCCTTTTGCTTAACATTATTTAAAAGTTTAACTATCTTGGTACTTGACCTACTAGTATTGATCAAATGAGCCGCGTCACGACAAAACCAACATAATGGGTTTGCGACCAGCATGAGTCCAGACCAGCCTGCGCGTCCGCGCAGTCTGATCAGGGCTATAAGTTTCACTACTTGTTATAGGGTTTGTAAGCGAACAGCATGGGTCCTGATTAGACTGTGCGGATGCGCAGGCTGGTCTGGAGCCATGCTGGTCGCAAACCCATTATGTTGGTTTTGTCGTGACGCGGCTCAAATAATATGATAGCTACTTCTGTTCCTTGATGTTATAAAACTTAAATATAGATGATGTTTATTCATACTGTCAAAAGTTATTAAATTAACTTTACATTGTCTAGTGTGTTCATGAAGAAAGTATGAAGTACGTAGAAAAGGATAAAAACGGAATCCCTAAATAACGCCTGTCACGGCAAAATCGAAACTGTTGCAGGCTCGATCTGGTTGTGCCTGTTCATGGAGGGTAATGAAAAGTGCATGTTACCGCCCATGTCTCCTAGCACCGACTACCTAAAACCACATATCAAACATGCTGCATCAATAAAGATTCTATTATCTATATTTTTTTATACTTTACTTTCAATACTATACTACTGTCAAAGGCTATTTAAACATTGTCTATTGTGTTAAAGAAACAACAACAACAACAAAGTTGCATTTTAATATCATAACTTATTATAATCAGATATCCTGAACGAACGGAAAAAGTTATTTTGAATAAATTATTTCAATGTAATTCTCAATTACGTAAATACATGAAATAAGGAATTAACTAATAGTATGTAGATCAACTATTATCAGCATTGCATAATGTAAGCTTATACAAATTGATCAATGCTAAAATTACTAGAATGGTAGTAGAACTAGGTATTATTGCAATATCGTGAAAAAGTTGCTGTGTGAGTGAAACTTTTCTAGGGTCAAAATTTATACCAGATGAAAATATTAGGGGTCTTCATTTTAGCGAGGTAAATGTTGAAGCTGTGGGTTTGAAATCCAACAAGGATTTTGGACTCATGTCATGCGTAAATGCTATCCTGGTAGCTTACACGAGCTCGGTGGATAAACTTAGCTACAAAGTACTCGCTCATGCCAGAAATAATGCGCAAAATGCCCCCTCCTCCCCCTGAGGTATTCCCCCGTTGGTAAAGATGGAAAGTCTTTAGAAGTACTTTTCGCTGTGCCAATTTCGTTTTAAAGCTCAACACATTTGATTAAATCAAGCGCTAAATTTGGACTAATACGATTATACAAGATTAATATTTCTCGATAAAAACTTAACATTTTACATTCAAACAAAACGCATGATAAAGCAATTATATAATCCCACTACAAAAAGTAATGTATTTGAACAAACTTCTTATTTGTCTAAACGCATGAGGCAATCTTTTTAAAACAAAAACAGAATGATGATAAAGTGTTTAAATAACTTTCATAAAAACACACGAACGCACACATTCACAATCGAAACCTTTCTTGCAAAAGAAAATACCTTTACGAACAAATTACGCAATGTATAACTTTGATGAGTTAATTTATATTGAATCTTTGTATTCTGATAAAAAAAATACTATTATTAGTCAGTCTAAAATAGATAGTTCTTAACCTAAATTTAAAGGATAGTTACCGTCAGATTGAATAAAATGTAAAGGATATTACTTAAAGAAAATATTAAGTCAGAATAGTTATTTTACTTTTTAGTAAAATTGCTCAAATATCTAGATTCTGTTTAACAATACTTCCTCCCACAAATTATTTCACACAGCACAGCACACTGCATGCAGATCTCATTACATTTTCTAGTAACCAATTATTTTACTTAAGAATTGACTGAGTTTATTTTACTTTAGATTTTGTCCAAATTAACAAGAATTATATCAAAACTTATCAGATACACTAAGTTTATGATTTTCAATAACTGTCTAATTTATTAAAATGTGATAATTGATGTGTTCAATTGATATTTTTGCATATAAATAAAGTATTTATGAAAATAATTGCCTGTCGTAGACGTTGGCGTTAGAAATTGAGGTCACTTACTTTGTTTAGAGACAGATAAATCTTTAAGTGTTCAATTTTATTGTCATTGTTATGCAAGCTATGCTAACATTTTAATATGACTTGGAAAACTAAGAACTAAAATATGTAAGTGGCCCTGTTTTTCTTCGGCCGAATATCTTTTCCATGAAGATACTTCCTTGATTTTTCGTTACATCTTTATCTGTAACAATAGCAAATGAGAACCTCTTATAAACAACAAAAACAAGGAAGTTGGAAATCAAGATGACCTGGACTAAATTGATTCATATATGTATGTGACATTTGTCTAATTATATCAGATGAATAATTATAAATATGATTATGTTACTTATAAACTACATGGGCATGGCTGTTTACATTTTTTTATATACATGTACATATGCAAATTTCTTTATATAAATTAAAATCAATAAAACGTTATTTAAAAAAGTCGAACAAAAACAAAATTGAAAAATAAAAAGAATACAAAGAAAATCCCATAAAGTTAGTCTATAACACTAATTAAAAACTTACCAGATCTCTGGACTGCCATTTCAGCCGCTTATACCAAAATTAAAGACAAAGTTAATCATCATTCACGATACAAAACAAGGTCTAAACAATATAAATCAAATAAATTATTTAACTTAAAAAAAGTTTGTCTGATGGGGGTAATTTCTTTCGTTATTTAAGTTGCCCCATCTTCTAGTGTAACGGAATAAAGTTTATTGTCCTCATTATTATCCGTAACAGTTACAATGTAGATGGTCCCAAATTAAGTTTTACATGCTTCAATTTTCGTCTTAATTACTGTCTACTATCGCTGCTGCGCCGGTCTTACTGAAATCTATCGACACATATTCTGTCTGCTCATGCATAGTAACAAGTGGTCTCTTAGCTGCCAGGTCAGGATATTCGGCGAGATCTAGGTCAGCATACACCAGATTGTCTCCCCTCTCGTTCTGTAAAGAATATGCATTCGCTCTTGATACTGCTTCACATAAAAAATGAGACACGTTTGGGTAAAAGATAATAATAGTGTCAGTTTGACATTGCAGACTAACTTGTGTTAGTCATTAGAGACATCGCTAACGCCCTTTTCCTATAAGTATAACATAACGTGTAGATAAATGATTGGCTTGGTAAGAAAACAAAAACTCTGCTTTATTTAAATTTGGCTAAAAATAGAAGCCCTTGATCATGAAGGTTGAGAAAAAATAATTTGGTCTTTATAGAATAAGTAGCAACAAGGAGCAGAGATTAATCGTCGACCACAGAGTCAATATATCTTTTGTAGGGTCCACTAGGCAGTTTTGCATTCCAAGTACCCTAGTTTTTCGTATTACGTTTCTGTGAAAATTGTAGAAGCTGTTTGTCTATGCTCCTAGACAGGCCTTACTTGTATAATTGATGTATACAATGTAAATAATAAACACTTGCAATGCAATACCAAATTATCTTAGCCTAGTGCCATAAAGTTTTAAAAAATCTAAATAAATGTGCATGTTAGTAATTTCAGAATGGTAACTAAAGAAATAATTTATAGATAACGATATACGACTAGTAGCTGCCTATCAAAAAACATCAACATTTTGAGCACTGTGTGCTAAGACGAACCAAATCATGTATCTGTCTGTGATTTGAGCACAAGAGAGAACACTGTCATTGTTATCGTGTGTGAGCTCATAAAACCGTTCATCACATTTTGACATATTCATTTACTTCTTCGCAATGACCAGTTTTAAAAAACTTGAAACTTAAATAATATCACACCTATATGAGAAAATAATATAACATTATGTAAATATCACAACAGCTATAATTGTTTTAAATTAATCAGTTACAAATTATATATTACCGATTTTTCAATAATTACATTTTTGTTTCCTGGATCTTTAATTGCCTCATTGTTAGCATTAGATTCTCCTCTGTCTTTCTTTGGAATGACGCATGCGTAATCTGGTTGTTCTACTGCCTCAGCTTTTCCAGACGCCGCTGTCGGGTTATTGTATACGGGTTCTTTCGGATTAAAGACAAAACAGAGTTTCATACAATGCAAAAGTTGTGTTTCAAACAAATTGTGTAATAAGAGCATGGTCTAACAAAGACACGTGAAAAGAGGTAGCGGTGAATTTAATTGCAGTACATATACATCAAATTAAACATTTACATTAACATGGAGTGTAAAATAATGAATCCGAATGAAACATAGTTGTTAGTGATGAAGAAAAAGGAATAACATGTCTTAATTGCATTAAATGAGTATGAAGAAAAATATGTAAACGTTTTGCACCAAGAACTCGTGGTATTATGACTTCTTTTCACAGTGCTATCATAATGCACGTTTTGTCAATGTCAACTTTCTGTTGGTAACGAATGCACACTCTCGACACAATGTAATGAGAAATAGACGAAAGTATCTTGTAATTTGTCAAATTGTGCTATATACCTTAAGTTAATAGTCATTACTGCATCACCAAGACCTAATCCAAACCTGCTGTTTAGGTATAAAATATATTATGCCTCTGTGGTAACTGACCTACTGATATTACCTCCAAATACAATATTTTAGGCCAATGCCATCACTGTCTGAATTCGGTTGAATACGTTGGAGGGCCGTTATAGGTATTACACAGCGGATTGAAGAGGCTTTATTTACAACATGTATGAGGATAAAGTTAAATTGCAGGAATAATATTGTATGTATATATGTCACACGAGCAGATGCATGCATTGTTTTAGTACTCTTACCATTTCCAGTCGGATGTAAACTTCTGAAAGAAAAAGTAAAAAAAAACAGTATTAGAAAACATATTGTTTCGTGATGTATTGTTACGTTTTTGAGTACGAGAGTTTTCCAACCAGCACTTTATATGCCATATCTTGTTTGAAGTATCTTGAATGATATTTAAAATAATACTTTTGAATACAAACAGTTTCTTTTCGATTAATTTCATTTCATATTTGACAATGCAAGATATTGTTTGTTCGTTTGTTCGTAACAATATAAAAAGAAATTGCAGTTTATGGGCTTCTTTTGTTTGTATGAATGATAAATCAACGTTATATAGATCTTAAGTAATGATGCATACGGTTGTCTTTCTTCAATTTTAATTTCACGGATATTCCTCTTGTTTGATGGTTCATTATTTCGTTTCTTACGTATAATAAGAACCACAATAACTGCTATAAGTATCGCAAAAAATAAACAGCCTACAACAGGCCCCACCACTGAGGCGATGTTTGACCCGGCCGATGGTTTGATTGCTTCTGTTACTGGTCTTTCAGATGGATCTAGATGATTGAAAAACAGTAAATCAATTGAATGAATCAAAATGATAGCATCATAACTGCTGAATAGGATTTATCAATAAGTTGAACAGAACACAAATTCCCTTTCCGACGATTTAGAAAAAAAAACGACTTTTCAATGCAATCTTTAAAATGTGTTTACAAATTTTCGACCGGCCTTGTCATATTCAGAGTGAAGTTGTGAAACAAAAGTTGTCAAGTTTGCTCAAAAATCTGTTTTTAAAATATTATTGTATGCAGATACAAAATTGTGTTTTAAACAAGAAAAATTGATCCAATTTAAAAATGAATATATATTCTGAAAAGTTAACAAAGTACAAACACGTTTAAAAGGATGTGTAACGTCCTAGTGATTCCAAATTATATACTGCACTTCCCTAGGGGATAAAACCAATTTTGTTTTTTAAAAGAAAAAAATGTTAATACTAAGTGACTTTAAGCTTTAAGAACTTGTAATCACTTAAAAGAAAACGAGTTTTACGTTTTAAAGACACTTTCTATTTACTAACCATACATACTGTATGTATCTGAAGCTACCCATTGCATTTCATTAAGGAAGTTACACATAAATACTACATCAATGTTTGTCAGCATACAAATAATACCTTTCACAATAAGCTTTATACTTCTTGATACAATTCCACCAATTCCGTTATTTGCCTTGCAACTATATGTCTGGGAATGGTCGGACGAAACGTTTGTTAAATGGAGTTCAATACTTTTTGCTTCGAATATCTCTATAATTTAAAAGAGAAATGCTAACTGCAATTTTATTAAGATTTTTGAATCACATAGAGTGTTTTAAATATGTATTTCATACGTACAAATAGAGAGGGTGGTCCTTGATCGTATCGTTAATGTATTTCACTTCGAACCAATAACACATAATTTTAAAAGGGCGAAAGCTATAAATCTATCTTACAGGAGATCAGTGCATCCACCTTGGTACCTGCTCCTAAAAGAGAGGCACTTGACGTGTTCCAAGCAAAATTTTAAAAATCGCCTTTGAATTGTGCGTACCAGCGTGACTTTAATGCAGCAAATCAAATATATATACAGAGTACGAGCATAGGCACACGGTCGACATTTCAAACATTTTAGCGGATGTATATAATAGTAAGAATAATAATAAAATAAATGAAATAGCTGTCAATTAGAAGATATTGCATAGAAAACATACCTTACTTGAAATTAAATCTTAATGTTAAATAGTGATTAGATTTGCTTTTTTTGTTTTAATACTTTCAAACACATTTAATTGTCTGCTATATACCATCAATTACGCCCGTCTGATTGTGCCACGAAATTGTTGATAGGGGATTGCTGTTTACGTCGCATGTCAAATCAACATCATCACCAATGTAAACCGTTTTATGTTCATTTTCTGATATCGTAACTATTGGATAATCTGAAATAAATAAATAAAGAACCAGGAAGGAGTTTCATATGGTACATGTATACAGTTTCTCTGAATTGACAAAGAATGTTTCAAAAGAGCATTACAAGAAAGTCTTTCGAATTTCCATTCAGAAGAGGAACTATAAAATAAGTAATTTTTATTCAAGATTTTGCGGATTTTCTATTAAACTTCAAAGTTAATTTAAGATAACGAATTTCAAAATACAAAAGACAAAATAAACAATTTAACAAATAACACACATGTAATGTTTAATGTATATATGTAACTCAGTTCAAGGTCGGGAAAACCGTCATTTTGCACTGCACATTTTATCTCCCTCATATTATCATCTTTCGTAAAAGTGAAGTTCCAGATCTGGAAATTATAAAAAAATTGAACTATATTCACGTATATCCTTCCACTTTACTTCAAAATAAAACACAAGCAGATATAACGCATTAATATTATTCAAAATCGTAAATTTCAACGTTTATTTCAGTTTAGCAAGTCTGTAAAAATACAAATCAACAAACTGTAGTACACATTTAACTTTGGGAAAAGCCAAAGAAAACATCCACGTGAAAAATTCATGTAAACTATGAAAATGTTTGGGAAATATATAGAGGATATTTGTTTGTTTGTGTGTAAGATGAAATTTATTTCATCGAGTGAGCTTTAAAAACAGTATTCTCACGAGTGGTGTATTGTTTTTAAAGTGCACGAGATGAAAACAAAACACATCTTACACAACAAAGAAACAACAAATTTCTTTTTATTTTATGTTTAAAAACAAGTTTATATGAAATTTCCTTAATATTTACTTCAATATTAAAATCTGTTTTCCCAACTGGTAGCCTCATTTAATCGAATTTTTCATAAAATACAAGAAGTTTTAGGCTGAAAATAAGTTCGACAATCAACGTTAAATGGCGATGATATCATTCATTTTATTTAAATAATATGAATGATCGCTTGTTTTAAAAATAAAACCAGACAATTCTAGTGGGAGAAATAGTAAAACCATCCATCCTTATATCTGTTACTTACGCGAATTTATATTAGACCTGGCTTTTTGAAATGTAAGCGGCCGCCATTTTTAAAAGTTGTGTATTTCATGTGAGGAAAGTAATTGTGTTTGATTCAGGGGGATATCATTTGAATTTGTTAGTCATACACCTTTTAAGAAGACAGAAAACTTATTTGAGGCCTGTTACAGATAATAGATCAGTGTTGACAGATGTGTAAACATTCAAAAAGCGGCTAGGAAATAGAAAAACATGGAATTTTTGAAAAGCTCTTAAAGGACGCTGGGTTTTTATAACCCTTTTTCCCTTTGGGGTGAAAAGCTGTCATTGTTTGTCAAAATTATTAAGCACTTTTTGCTCGTAGGGTAAAAAAATGTTTAAACAAAAACAAGCAGTTTTGCAGTGGAAAAAATTGTAATTTTTTAAACACACTAGAAAAATAAACAAAAAATTTTAAAAACAATATCTGGTGATTATTTTTTGAATTTAATCAAAGAAACTTTTTTTCTTTTTATTTTCTTTTGGAAAATTTTGTTAAATTTATCAATTTTTAGCTTTGCTTTTTTCTAAAAAAACCCTGAAAAATGTCAGCATTTTCTGCCCCCGAATAAAGCCCGAGGTACCACATGGGGAAAACTTTAAAAAAAATAGTCCCCAATTTATTGGAAAAAATGAAAAAAATTATTTTGGGTAATTTTTAAAATGTGAAAATTATCAAATATAATTTTCAAGGATAAATCAGTAATCCACTGAAAAGCATAAAATAAATTGCTCTTATGTTTTATGTAAATAATGTGTTTCTTTTATTTCTAGATTGGAGAAATTGCTTTCTGATATTATTTTTTGGAAAATAAACTTGTAATTTCTAATAAATGCTATGACACAACAATTTCTTACTTAAATATATTATTGCTTTAATGAATATCCTAAAAATTCTTATTTTTAGACAATCATTTACAGACGTTTATAGAAACCATTCAAAATTGTAAAAGAACCAAACAATGATGTGTTGATTGAACCAAATCAGTTTCTATTTACTTATGATTTCTATAAGTGGTAGAGAGATAGAGAGAGGTGTAATTTTTATACCGATAGAGATATACTATGCTCATCTTTGAGTAAAATATTCATACTGCTGAAATTTCTTGAAATTTATAAAAGTCATACTGAAATATCTTATTTAAATACAAGAACCTACAAACTGTGTATGGGAATCTTCGTTTCTTATAACGGGTCAAGTTAAGCTGGTTCTGTTTTTATGAAATCTGCAAGTTTTTTAATAAAACTATAATAGTATTATATTCATGGTGTGTACGCTTATAGTGTATATAGTTTAATACATAACGTATCCACTTTGTGTAAAGTCAAAACATGTTTGTTTTACATATACTGTGTAGCAATTATCAATATTTTCAAATATCAAATTTAAGTTTCTCACTTACCGCTGTTAATATCCACCCGTGTGTTTCATTCTCCGGATCATTCCTTTCCTCGAACAGCTGTTGCTGGTCATGTTTAAGTCCACTGAAGTCAATAGAACTTTTAGGATTAGATTCTGCGACTTTCAACTTTAATGTCATCATGGTGTCGCCATTTTCTTCATTTTGTTTGAAAATTTCTTCAACAGTAACATTCTTTGGTGGAACTTTTTTCATAAGGAAATAAAAGTGATCGGTAAAGATATCAGAAATAGAGTCATGCTGTTACATGATTAAAACTTATCAATCTATAAAGCGGGACTTATTACCATAAGTCTCCTTAATAAATATAAATAGTATATTTCTTTAAATATTAACAACAGTCACCTATATGTACAGCTTTTATGTCTCAGCATTAATATTTTTGTCACCCTTAAAACCCGTTTTAGCACTTTCATATCAGAAAATGTACTTACAAGCTTCATAATCTTGTCTTTATAATGTATTTTGTGATATATTTACATTTTTTATATTCTTTGTTCAAATCTGATGCAGAATTTTAGTCGTATATATTTTCCTCAAAAGAATCGAATTCTCTGCAAATCATTTTCAGATAATTTTCAAAAAAGTTAAGAAAAAATTGATACACACTTTCGTACACATTTTTTTTTTTAAAAACGATGGCTGAACTCACTCACAAGCTGTTAAAAATAGAATGTTAAAAATAAATAAAAAATAAAAATACACGTACTGATCATATAGGCTTTTTTTATAATAAACAATCAACCAATCAATCAATCAATTAATAAATCAATCAAAAAAAATTCAAAGTTTCATTATTGAAACTTACATAAAACATTTAACGTGTTTTCCGTTCCGCATTTAGTCTCACCAATATGGCTGCAACACACGACCTTATTCTGATTATGAAACCGTGTAAAAACTTTTGTTGTCGACGTGGTAATAGTATACAGACCACCCGGCACTGATTCCTTTTTCATTGTTGCATTAGCCTGTTTTTCACTACCTATATATAAGTCAGAGAGCAACGGTGGTCTGCAGTTCCTTGCAATACAATGAACTTCACTTTGTTTTCCTTCTATTACCTCGTTGACAATTACGTCGATCTTGTTTGGTGGAACTTAAATGTAAACAATTGAACTATGTCATATTTTATTCTATACAAGTCAATGGCATCGGTCTTTATTGGTTTGAGCTTTATAAATCTTTTTTGCCTTTTCAAATACTTAATACAATATTGATCACTCTTTCGTGTCATTCTTTGAGTAGTAAACATATTTTTTTATGTCAATTAATGAAAGAAAAATGAAGTCCGTTCGAAACGGAATTAGACATGCTGTGATATATCATGCTTATTGCCAAGTACCAAATACTAATACAGATTTGTTTTTTTCCCTTTCAAATCAATAATACACATACCTGTAACATACAAATTGACTGATGTTTTTAATTGTTCTTGAAGGGCTGGATTCTTCACCGTACACATAAAGGTGGCGCCAATGTCAGTTTTACTTGGTATAAAACTATATCTGATATAATAATGGGTAATTAGATTTATATCATTTTGTGTTTTAGTGGCATTTGAAAGCATCTTGTCGTTCTTCCATAGATTAAGGTATATGGGCTTTGATCCACCTTGAACAAAACATTCTACCGTTACTGATTTTTTCAGATCAGCCAATATGCATTTTCCAGGATTACAATATTCTGTGGTTTCAACGCTGGAAAATTCCGGGTCCGATGGTGGTCTGTATTCTGAAATTCCAAAGGAATATTACAAAAATTAACTTCAAATGATGATACATGAGTGACATAACCTGGATATATTTGATTATCAACTTGCTAACTGATACCAACTCAGCAATATTCAGATATTCGTTATTATACGTGTTATATGCACATTCTACCAATTTTTCGAAGGCTTTCCTTAATTCAAAATGATAAGAAAAAGTGAGAAAACAGCAATAATTAAACTATTTTTGTTCCATAGAAGGGAATTTAAACAAGATGGCCATGATGGTAGTAGTCGCTCACCTGTACATAGGCCCCCTGAGCAGGGCTAGTTTAAAGCCCGGGGCTTTTATTTGACAAACTTTGAAGACAACCATTAGAAGATGTTTCATGCTAGACATCTAAGGTCTAGCTCGTTGGGATTGTTAAAAGAAAATTATTTAAAGTTGTTTCTTTACACATATAGTTAAAAACAATGACACACCTGGGGCAGGGCCAGTTTTGACCCAAGGGCTTTTATTTGAACCATCTTTGTAGACACTTACTAGAAAATGTTTCATGCTTAATATCTAAACTCTAGCTATTGGAGTTTTTTAAAAGAAGATTTTTAAGGTTTTGCTATACTCGTATAAGGAAATCAATTTACCCGGGGCGGGCCAATTTTGACTCCAGGGCTTTTATTTGAACAAACTTTGAAGACACTCACAAGAAAATGTTTCATGCTTAATATCTAAACTCTAGCTATTTGGTTTTTTTCCAAAGAAAATAAGGAAATTTTGAAAATCAATGAACCCCAGGGCCGGGCAAACTTTGACCCCAGGGCTTTTATTTAAACAAACTTGGTAGACACCCATTAGAAGATGTTTCATGCTAAATATCTTAGCTTTAGCTCTTTGGGTTCTTTAAAAGAAGATTCTTCAAGTTTTTACTAAATGTATAAATAGAAAATCAATGACCCCCTGGGGTGGAGCTAAGTCTGACCCAAGGGCTTTTATTTGAAAAATCTTGGTAGACATCCATTAGAAGATGCTTCGTGCTAAATATCTTAGCTCTAGCTCTTTTGGTTCTTTAAAAGAAGATTTTTTAAAGTTTTTACTATATGTATATAGGGAAATCAATGACCCCCTGGGGCGGGGCCAATTTTGACCCCAGGGCTATTATTTGAACAAACTTGGTAGACACTCACCAGAAGATGTTTCATGCCAAAAATCTAAGTTCTAGCTCTTTGGGTTTTTTTTAGAAGAAGATATTTTAAGTTTTTTCTTTTGGTTGCCATGGCAACCAGAGTTCTGCATGGAATGAAATTCTTTAATCAATTGTTAAAAGTTGACCACCAATGGAACATTCCTGTGAAGATTGGATGAAATTGGCTTAGTGGTTTATGAGGAGATGTCATTTAAAGTAAAAGTTTACGGACGACGGACGCCGGACGGACGCCGGACGAAAAGCGATCACAAAAGCTCATCCTGTCACTTTGTGACAAGTGAGCTAAAAAAGGTTAAAATGCATGGAAACAGAAGGCTTCAAGAACCTGCCCCCACCCAAAAAGAAATAAAATCAGCAACAACAAAATTTAAAAAGAAATCTGATGGAATACAATATCTCTTTCTGCACATTTAATTCATTGCATATAGCATAAAATGTACAAGCAATCAAAGGACTGTTAGTGACTGGGCCTGTAGTATTATTAGAGATGTTTTGAGAACTGCACGGTGGTCATTACATATTCCATTTTCATAACGAGTATAATATATATTCATATTACCTATATTCAAATATACCGAATTCGACTGTGTGTCACCGCAATTAACTCTGTATTCGCCTCTATCGCTATATTCTGTTTTTAAAATATCGAGGGTATGGACATTTTTCTCTTCATTCACTGAAATTGCATCATTCAGTTTTCTAAAAGTCGACTCGTCTTTCTTTTCAAAAGTTACGTCTTTGCCGGGATCTACAGAGAATTGAAGTGCTACTGAATCTCCTTCTGTGATTGTACGTTTTGTAGTTGTAAGTATGCCACATTGTTCTTTGCAACCTAATTAAATCATAAAATTGTATTTATCTTTTTTATTAAATATCTCAATACGCTAAAATATGCTGTTGTTCTGTTGTTAAACAGTATATATTTACAACAATTAAAAGTTTAAAAAACCTTGCCGCTTTTATATTTCAGTCATGGAATCAAATAATACGACATACTTTTAGTGCAAATATGTTCCTTTTTAAAAATAGTTATTTGCATTACAATTTCTCGTAAGCAATATTTATTTTGAACTTGGGTCTGCTTTAGGTAACTACCTAGAACTGATATCATAAGGGAACAATTTGGTAGTGTCTTATTTAGGGCTTGAATTAAGCAATCCTGGATTGATACTTAAACCGTTAAGGCCATGCTTCAACTTGATAAAAATATTATAGAGAATATATCATATACTATAGCTTATACGAAATTATCGCATGTTATATCTTAAGCAAATATTTCAAACCAACAAAATACTACAAATTAAAACCATGCTGATTTGTCAAGAAGAAAGACCGTTATGATTATACAATAAGACAGTTTAGACCAAGGATTCATCTTACCATTATTCTACAGGAATCTTCGTGTGCATTGTATGTAGTTCAAGATGGCGGACGTGTTTTTGCAAAGTGTCTGAATTTGAATGAAAATAGTTAGTTTTCCCTAAAATGGCAAGTAATGACCTAAATTTTCACGGAAATCTATCTTCACAGCCGAACGTTATAGTTTTAAACAGGTTTGCGGCTCTTTGTGAGGGTTTTGAGTCATCTCAGAGTAGGAAAAGAGCTCGCCAATCGACGGGTGGGGCATCATGCGAGTATATGTCTCAAACTCCACCACAGCCTCTAGACATTGATAAATTTAAACATCTACCAGTTGATGATAAACTTAACATTATTATTCAAACCATGTCTAATATGTGACTATTGAAGTTGCCAATTGATCAAAGGGAGTCCACTGTCTTTATGAATTGTGCATATAATGTGGTCACAAATGAGAGACTACGGTTGCTTGAATATAAACAAATTTACCTAGATGCCCGTAATAGACCCTCAAATCTTATTATCTCAGGGGTTGTTGAAAGTGCAAGCAAAAACTGTGTTGACATTGTGACGGACCTTATTGAAACAAATTAAAATCTACAAGCATCGTCATTTGTGATATTGAGGACACACAGATTAGGTCGGGTATTTAGACATCGCGCTCCGCATTTAGGTCCCGATCCAAAACCCGGACTAAGACAAATCATGGTGTCTTTTTGTCAGCCTATTGAAGTCGAGTATATAATGGACAATGCTTAAAAGCTCAAAGGCTCTAATGTCGGATTCAGCAGGGACTATCCAAGGATGATAAGTGACGTACGCAAAGTTCTGTGACCACATTTCAAGGACACCAGAAATAGGTATGGAAACAAACAGTTATAAACTTATACCGATCACATTCCTGAGGCTAATAGTTTCGAATCGACTGCTGACTCCAAATTGCAACACATTGACACCAACAGTGTTCATAGTTTCCATGACACAACCGCACCTACTAACCAATATACTAGTAACTCTCAGGTCTATGTAAAAAAAAGCCCAAACAGTCGAGTGCCAAGATCAAGAGCCCGCTGCCGTCCAGTATTGTGAACTTGTATTTTTTACCTTAGCGCCCATAACCAAGCCAAAACCCAAAATCCACCAAATAAGAGCAAAAATCAAATTATAATCCAGTAATATTGAGTGGCAACAAGCTACAATCGAATCAAACCAAACTCTATTCGGAAGCTGTGTTAAATCCTAACAAAATTGGCATGAAGCTGGTAACACCCATGTCAGCCCACCAGCTAGTACCTTCCATGATGACAGCTAGGACAGACCGGGGACAGTACTGCTACTTGTGTCATTTGTAAATAAAAATAAAAATGACTTTTACTGGCGATAAACCATCCAACCAAAATTCTAAAATAATTGTATGTGAACAGTACATAAGTCCGGATATATTCCTATGTATTAATCAATGTATGGAACTGCCAAGCTGTTAAAATTTTACTAGATGTAAGCATTAAACTAGTCCAAAAGAAAAGCATTTTAATTCTCACATTGGAAATATTCAAGAAAATACCATGTTCAGTAAAAACATCATTACATAAAACATAGTAACTAAACTATGTTTTATGTAATGATGTTTTTACTGATATTTATGCAAAATTAGATGATAGTATAAAATGTATTTCTTCGAATAATCAATCTTGTGGCTCAAAGTTCATGCTAATATGATAGCGATTTTATTATTCGGGCAATGTATATACCTCCAATGCAGTCGCTTGCTTTCAACAATGACGAATTTCTCAAGCTTGAAAATGAACTACAAATCTCAACTACATGTATAAAAAAACAAATATTGTCTAATTGTAGGGGATGTAAATGGCCATACCTCTTGCGCTGATGATTTTGTCATTATAAATTATTTTCTATCAAAACAGTTCGAATTTGATGAACAATTCATGAGTGTATTTAACTCTTTCAAAATAATCGACAAAATGTAAAGACCCGCTTAAAAGAACTTATATAGACATGAAAAAACAATGCTGTCCGGCATAAGTTCCTTGATATATGTACATGCAATAATTTATACATATTAAATGATAGAGTAGGGAAAGAAGGGAAAGACCGAAAAAAGGGAAACTTCACCTTTAGAAATACTTCCGTTATAAATTACATGGCAGGCTCAGTTCACTCGTTTCCCGTTCTATCAGATTTTGAAGTTAAAAAAGTTGATACATTATTTTCTGATGGACATTGATTGTTAACAGTCGAAATACAAGTCTTTATAGCTCAAGTACAGAACCGGATCATAATAAAACAACGTCAAGTCAGTTTGTAAAGCCACCGAAATTGAGGAATAACCTCTCTTTTGAGTTTGTTATACATTTAGACGAAAAAGACCTCAAATCGATTGAACTATCTTTACATGAACTAAGCGGTGAAATATCTAAAACTCAAATCAACATAACTTCAGACAAAACTGCAGACCTTTTCAATCATTCGGCATTTAAAACTTTTCCGTCAAAACCTCCATTAAACGATTATCATTTTTTAAATACAACATCTAACAAACAAAAATCAAACAAATGGTTCGGGCCTCAATGTAATAAATCGAGACGTAAATATAACCGCGCACGAAAATGTACAGCTTGCATATGAATGACCTATATAAATCTGCACTAAATCGTGCTGCTAAATTTCATAAACAATAAAGAATACGTATTTACGCCAGCATAAAACTCAAAACGAACGTAAATTAAGAGAAATTCAGTCTTTCTAAACTTCCGTACAATATAGTGAAACTTGTAACCAAAATATTACACAAAGATTGAATGACGAACCGACTCGCCAAGGTAAAAAAACAGAGGTAAAAACATTTTCTAAATGAAAATGAAAACCCTGTGCCCATTTGTCAATGTCGGATCGTAAGAATGTCAGGCCTCATTCCTTGCAGGTATATGTTAAAGCATTATAAATGTAGCATTACATATATACAAAATATATTGTGGTTACTCTTGCTATAATATTTTCACAAGGAAAACGTATTTTATGAAGTAAAAATATAACTTTTCATTTTCTTTTATAACAAGTGCCTGATTAAAAGCCTGCTAAAATGTATGTATTATAAGAAAAAGCTTACTGAAGGTATACGTGTTGAAAATCCTGGAAAAAACACTTAATATTACCCCACGAAAAAAAATAAAAGTAGAAATGTATCCATAGGACACGGGTGCCCCCATACTCTACTGTTCTGTCAATCTTATGATCTTATGACTCTAGGTCAAATATTTTTTGGACTACATGCGCCACAAGTTGAAAACTATAAATCTTTTACTAAGTAAAGGGCAAGTACTTTACAAATACTGATTAAATTCACAAGCAAACCCCAAGGTGCGTAAGTACACACGCTAACCAACATTCTTGTAAACTTTCAGGCCTACAAGTCAAATACTTTTTGCCCTATGCATGAACAAGTTGAAAATTGCAAATTTAAGCTACCGTTAGTCAAGGGCAATAACTCTAACCAAACTGAAAAAAAATCCACATACAAAGTCCAAGGTGCATAGCTTCACAGTGGTATTGATCATTATTCCTGTAAAGTTTGTTGACTCTAACTCAAGCATTCAATGAACAAATAACACAACAGAATGAAAAGGTTCAAAAGTCAAGGGCAATAAATCTACAAAAACTGGACAAATCCACAAGCGAAACCCAAGGTGCACAACTACATATGCTGAGCAACATGCCCGTAAGGTTTATGACTCTATGTCAAATCCTTTTTAGTTACATGTGCAGCAAATTGAAAATTGCAAAATTTTACTAAGTCAAGGGCAATAACTCTAAAAACACTATGTAAATCAACATGAAAATACGTAGATGCACAACTAAACATGCTGATCAACATTCATGTAAAGTTTCATGACTCTAGGTCAAATCCTTTTTGGGTAACACGCGTCAAAAGTTGAAAATTGCAAATTTTGACTAAGTCAGGGGCAATAACTCTCAAAACACTGAATAAATCCACACGAAAATACCCAAGTGCACAACTGCACATGCTGATCAACATTCCTGTTAAGTGTCATGACTCTAGGTCAAATACTTTTTGAGTTATGTGCGACACAAAGAGAACGGACGGAAGGACGGATGGACGGACGGACAGAGTATTGTAAGATATCTTCTGCGTAGAAGTGAATAATAATCTTTACACGCCCTATTTATAACCAAGATATAGATAGCTTACTCGAAAAAACAACAACAATAAACACGAAAATCTCGTGCAAAACTGACAATTACCTCCTATACAGTAATCTATATGTTTCGAGAAGACAAATATTTCACGCTATACTACGAAACGCGTATAATTAATATTCTAAAAAAACGAAAGATATTTGGAAAATTTGTAACAATTTGAATAAAAAATGTCCAAATAATACTACGCCAGATATCAGTGAATTTTATAAGCACTATAAAAAGGTAAACTCCACCCTGATTATGATAATTGTGTACACATAAATCAAGCGTAACAGAATATAACTATGGAGGACAGTATTTTGAACGCGCCCATTACAAAAATGGAAATATTAAAAAAGAGAAGCAAGTGCAATAATTCAAAAGCAGCTTCACCGCAAGATTTCATTTAAAATGAAAATATAAAAAGTACTAAGTCTATCATGACACAATTTACTGACAATTTTTTAATAAAATTTTTAATAGTGGGATTTTTACCGAAAAATGGCTTGTCGGCACTATAACCCCAATCTACAAGAAAAAAGGGTCACAATTGGACCCAGGAAATTATCGTCCAATCACAATATCAAGTTGCCTTGGGAAAATATTTACTGCCATATTAAACGAACACATAAACTCTTTCCTAAGTAAATTAGATATCCTTAAACAAAATCAGGCCTGTTTCAGATCAGGGCTTTCAATCACAGACCACATTTTTACTCTTAAATTTCGCATTGACACCTTAAAATCACAAAAGAAAAAACTGTTTTGCTCGTACATAGATTTTTAGGCCGCTTTTGGCAAAGTTTGGCGTGTAGGATTATGGAACAAATTGCTTAAAAACGTAATAAACGGGGAACTATTTAATGTTATTTTCAACATGTATGCTAATATTAAATCATGTGTATCTTTAAACGGTAATATTTCCACCTTTTTCAAAAGCATGTGTGGGGTACGTCAAGGGGAAAATTTGTCACCCGTTGTCATTTCAATATATGTAAATGACCTTAATATCTTAAAAGTAATTACGTGGGAATACAACTTAAACGAAATCATTGAAACATAGATGTATATCTGAAAATTTTATACTATTATATGCAGACGATACAATTATTGTAAGTGAAGACGAAAAAAAAATGACCAAAACATGCTAAATTATTTTCACCAGTATTGTAAACAATAGAAATTGACAATTAATATGCATGACTAAGATTATTTTTGGTTCCTGTAGACCTGGAAATTACATGTTTAACATAAGTGGCGAAACAATAGAAATTGTTAAAGAATATTAATATCTGGGCTTTCTTTTTTTTCATCGGGTAGTTTTTTAAAAGCGCGAAACAGTTAATTATTTAAGCTAAAAAGGCACTACATATCCTTTATATGCATATAGCTAACATTGACTTGCCAATGACGTACAGATAAAGCTATTCGGTCAAACAATTGTACCTATACTAACATATAACTGTTAAGTATGGGGCTTTGAAAATTTGGATTTAATCGAAAGGGTTCATACTTTTTTCCTCTGCAAAATAACAAATAGTAAGAAAAGTACGCCTCTATACATGTTATATGGTGAGCTTGGTCGTTATCCGCTTGAAATAGTCATTAAAACAAAAATAATAAATTATTGCCAATTTGGTGTAAACTTCTTATGGACAGTGAGACGTAAAAGTCATGGCAATGTTATGAGTTCATGTTTAATTCAGAAATAAATTACAAATGGTTAAATTATGTCAAAAAGTTCCTGATTTTAACGGAAATACTTACTATTGGATCAAACAGAAAATTCTCATTTTAAAGAACGTAAGTGAATTAATAAAAAGAACATTACTTGACCAGTTTTATACAGAAAATCTAGCAAACTCCTCGAAAGGAACAAGTTATAGGTTATTTTAATCTGATATTAGATTTGAACCATATTTAAACATATTAACCCAAAATAAAAGAAAAACAATATTCCATTTTAGAACAGGTAATCATAGACTGCCAGTAGGAACAGGCAGATCGCGCAGTTGTACATTACCGTTTGAAGATAGGAAGTGTATGTTTTGTTCACATAATGACGTGGATGACGAATTCCATTATCTTCTTAATTGTCCCTTTTTTACTGACGAAAGAATGAAATATATTCCGAGAAAGTTCTATAATAGGACCAATGTAATTAAATTCATGGAAATTATGTCCGCAGAATCTTAAGTGGTCTTAAATATTCTGAGTACTTTCTTACACTTGATAACATTTTTTTTACGAAACACTTGTCCCTAGAGAATATTAATATTCAGTTACTTACCCATGTATCATATGCATATTTAAATCCATGTTTGTTTTCGCCGTTGTAACCTCGTGCAGACGGTTTTTTTAATAATACAGTACATTATCGTTAGGACTTATTTACTACTGTCATTAAATTTATTTTCTCTAGCACTTAAATACCATGTAATCTGTAATATCCATTGTTACATTTTCTAAATCTCACAGTCAATGACATACGTTTTCCACTATGTTTGTTCTCATGATATAATTCTCCCAACTTATTCACTAGTCAATGGAATACGCTACTTGTTCACGCTTTCAACGTGAACCAATTCCTCTTACATTATTTTGTTTTCTCACCATTCTACACCCGTGCCGACCCAAACTCTCCCATCTTGCCTATTTACCATTTAAATTGAGGTTAACAAGCTCTACAAAGTTTTAAATATTGTGTTAAATTGATAACTATTAACTATGTATAAATCTGTCCATATTTCAATAGAAAACAAAATGAATCATGTTATTACATGTCTGTAATCTGATATTAATAAAAGTAATTGTTGTTGTTGGAAAATGATATGGTTGTGTCACTCGTAGGGCTTGAATCTAGAAACCCTGGGCAGAACAAATTTACCTTTTAAGCAATGCTTTTTACTCGATTTAAACATAGCCCACTGTAGTATACATGTAAAAAATCAACTATATTTTGAATTTAAGGCATAGTAAAATATGTTACTTCATTTATAAAGGACCTAAATATAATCCGATGCGGGTTACTTAACTATATTTCGAGAGTGTAATGAGATGATAACTAATAAAACTACAATTGTACATTCGTCTATTATCCGTTGTTTATTGGCTATGCCTTACCTAAAAGATATCGGGAGTTTAAACCAAATGTGCCGTTTCATAAAACAACATTCTTATTTTTTGCATATTTTAAAAAAAAAGAGAATGTGGATGTTAAAGCTGAACAGCTTTTCTTATATTCAAATATTTGCAAATCTCTTTCTTTTTATTTGAATATAAGTATTATATTTATCAAGTTCAAACTTAAGATGACTATAATTTGAAAAAGCTCACTAATATAGATTGTTATTGTATAAAATGAGTGTAACGGCTTAAGTATGGATTTATTTAGAGTCTCTTGCAGGAGAAAATTCTATAAGACTCCTCTTTCGTTCTCTTCTTTTTCCATTATGTTAAAAAATTTTGTTTGTTGATTATTTGTATGAACATATACATAACATATACTACTGGGAATTAATGTGTGTAAATCAAAGCAAAATAAAGATTTTGTTTTAAAAAGTGCTTAGTTCATATTCTAAAGATGTATTGGAAACAGAAAAACAATAAATTGTTAGAATTGCAAGCCATCGATTAAAATTTCAATCGGCATTGCTTAACTCGTTTGGGCTGTTCAAACAAATACTTAGAAGAAAAAACACTAACAAATAACTCACCATTAGTAATAACGGATACGCTTAATGTTGATCGGGAAGTATATAATCCGTCGTCACAAATTACACGGTAGTTCCCATTATCTGTTGAACTTACTTCTGATATAGACAGGATGAAACTTTCGTTTTGTTTTGATTCGATATACTTTCTTTCATTAGTTGACGTCTTGTCATAAATACTCGTCGGTTTTGAGTTAATTTCTCTGACCCATTGGCGCTTTTCGTGTGTTTGTGTCTTGTTTGGTGTGTAAATTAAGCGTGCAGTCTGACATTCCATTACTGTGTGAGTTTCGAAGTTTAAAGTCCCACAAGTGATTGAATCTGAAAATGAATAAGTTGTTCATGTCAACCTTAATTTCAGTGATCATATGTGTCGCCTCACTGGACAAAAAATTATTAAACCTAACAACCTGTGTCATATGCACAAGAACTTGAGCTTCCGATCAATCCTGTAAAGTTTCATTAAAATTCTATAAGTGGTATAAGAGGAATAGATTGGAAAAATTAAAAATGTAATAAAAGGGCCATATCTCTGACAAAAATAAATAAACAAAAATAAGTCGATAAAATGCACAACTAGACATACAATTGATAATTCCTTTAAAGTTTTATTGAAATTGCACAAGGGCAATCACTCAACCAAAAATAATTAAAGCAAAAACCTGTGTATTATGCATAAGTATATGAGCTACCAATCAATCCTGTAAAGTTTCATTGAAGTTCAATTAGTGGTATGAGAGGAGTAGTCCGGACAACATTTCAAAATAAAAATAATTAAATGGCCAAAACTCATCCGACAAAAATCATTGAATTATAAAACCCTATGACAACTAGACCAAGTATCTACCATTCCTGTAAAATTTAGATGAAATTACCAGCAATTTCTGGGAAGTAGTCTGTACAAGCTTTTGTGTAGTTGGCAACACACAAACACAACACAACTTTTTTATTCAAGCGCCATAACTCGGCCAAAATCATTCAAACAGACCAATCCTGTAAAGTTTCATTGAAATTGTTTTAGTAGTTTAAGAGGAGTAGCCCGGACAAACTTAAAAAATGATAAATCATAAAGGGCCATAACTCAAACATCATTTAACCGGAAAACGATTATATGTACAACTAGACTAAGTACTGATCATTCATGTAAAGTTTGGATGAAATTGCACCAGTATTGTTTTAATAGTTTTTTGACGGCCGGACAGACATACAGACAGACAGACGAACAGCCAGACAGACGACGGATAAGTGATCGCTTTATGTTGGCACTACTCCGTATGAGTAAAGATATTGCAAATTGAATAAGAAACGCATCCGGAAAAAAAAGAAAACAAAACTCTTTTAATTCACATTTTCTTATAATCAATTAAAAATTTAGTCAATAAATTTTATTTCAATAAATGTGAAGTAAGTTCGACTCAGATACTAAGATATGTGCGCCTAAACATGACTAAGTGTGACGATCAGTTTATGAATATTGTACAACGATATTGACCTAGCTGTTTCGTATAGGTAATTGGACAAACACTGGTACAAATATATCGGAATATATCGATAAATTAAACATGTAAATTTCGCATGTTAGTGAGATGTGGTCTATTGGTATGGATGCGCGGCTACTGATCTGAAGGTATCTTGCTCGATACCTATCCCATACCAGGTTGAAAAAATACACTTTTTAAGATTTACTTACAATAACTAATTTAAAATCGTCTTACTACATCTGGTTTAAGGATACCTTTTAAGTTGTGTTTTTCATTAGATTATACTTATATTTCATAAATACTGAATTTTTATCTTCAATAAAAAGTACAGCGCGTTAATAATAGAAATCACTCAATCGACTGATTGATTTCACTTGCAGTGTCATTCGTACTGCCAATTCCGGCGGTTTCAAGTTTACCAGGTTTCGAACTTGACGAGTTTACATCTATTTCCTTGAAGTAAAAGACCTCTACATAAGAACGATTTTTAATTTAGACCATTTAACATATGGATTTACAAGTAGGTCGAAACTGTCATTAAATCTATTGTTTCCAAATTATTGAAGCATAAGCAAATGTGTTGTTTTAACCAAAAATGTGTTTATAAGTATGGTGCTGACGATCATGGAAAAGGACATCATGTAGCCATATTTTAAATAACGTGTTTAACCGCCACGTGTCTGGATGAGAGTCTCCATCCTTCTTCTCACAGCCTCAATTTTGAGCAGATCACAACTAAAATTTGTAATTTAATTTTGGCAATGGTACAAACCACATGTAGTCAACATGCAACAACTAGAACAAGATCTGCACCAAGAATTGCAAAATTACCTCAAAATTGCATTAGACGCCTTACTGGTAGTATGAGGAGAAGTAATGAGGATATCAACCAAAGGATGATTAAAAAATGCCAGGCTTGTCTTCAGGAAAAAATTTACCTTTTCTATATATAAGTTCTTATATCAAATTTAATTGATATGATTTCCACGAACGCGTCGCTTTTTCGTTAAATTTCTGCATTCATACTAAATGGTTTTGCTTTTTTATTCTATTTTAAACATGTTATACTTCTAGCTTGAGTTATGGCTGATTTTTTTAAGGTCGTTTGTTTTGTTCATTTACTTATGACTGATCTGTCTATTATGTATGTAAACTGTAGAGGACTTAAAGGTTTTGTAAAAAATATATGAAGTTGTTCAATTTTCAAGAGAAACTAAGTGTGATATGTTTAGAGAAAATAAGTGTGATATATTTTGTCTGCATGATACACATTTTCATCAGGACAAATTTAAGGATATTTATACATAATGGGTTTCAAAATGTATTCTAAGCTTTTCTTGTTCAAACTCAAGGGATGTTGGGGGTTTTTCTTTACAATATACATTGTACTTGATTACAAAGTAAACCAAGACATTGTTGATGAGTATGGCAATTATGTAATTGTTGACATTACTAAAGGCGAAACGAGATTTACTCTTGTTACTTGATATGGTCCTAATGAGGACAATTAGTCTATTTATGAAAATATTTTTCATAAAATAGATCAAATTGGAAACAGTGATCACCTGATATGCGGATATTTTGTTTTAGTTATAAACCTCGAATTGGACTATGATAATTATGAAAATATAAATAATAAAAAAACACGCGCCTTCATTTTGAACGAAATGCAAAAAAGAGAACTTACTGACACTAGTCTTCTCGATTTTTTCCAAACAACATAGCGATTTACTTGGCGAAGAACAAATCCCTTTCAACAAGAAATATTTATTTGATTTATTTTTGATTACCTCTATTGTTTATGTATAGTGTGCTAGATACTATGATTAAACCAAGTTTCGTTCTGATCACTCTATGATTCTACTAAAATTGAATTTTGTTAGTTTTAATCGTGGTAAAGGATTGTGGAAGCATACTTATTCACTTTTAAAAGATTAAGATTATCTGAAGAAAATCAATAAGATAATAGATAAAACTATCATCTAATATGCTGTTCCGATATATAAATATGAAAACACTTTAGATATTGATCCGTCCGTCAGACTAGCAATTAACAATAAATGATCAGTTATTTCTTGAAACCTTATTAGTAGAAATTAGGGGGAAATCTATTTCATATAAAAAGAAAGAAGCACATAAACGGGAAATAATCATTAAAGAATAGATTAAACATCTGGAAAAATTCATTTTCTGCTGATAAAGTTGAGCAATTAAATAACTTAAAAAAAGAACTCAATAACATTCAGAATGAAAACGTTAAAGGTTTTATGATAAGATCAAAAGTTGTTGATTGGATTAATGATGATGTAAACAGAGTAAATTGTGTTGTAATTTAGAAAAGAATAATTATACAACGAAAACAATTTTCAGTTTAATTAATGGTGATGGAATAGAAATTTCAAATCAGACTGATATTCTCAATAAAATCTCTTTATTTTATTTCAAATTATGTTCCGCAAACAACATAGAAAATTCTAATGAAACTTTTAAATATTTAATTAATAACTTTATTTTTCCAAAATTATCAAAGTATGATGCTTCATCCACAGAAGGCTAACAATAAAAGTCCAGGAACTTCTTGCTTTAATGCAGACTTTTATAAAGTTTTTTTTGCAATAGTCGTTAAGTTTTTATTGTTATCTATATCCACACATTTATTTACAACGCTGCCGAATACAAATCCTAATATAATTTTAGACTTAACTGAACCCTTCAGAGATTTTGTCTGGCTTGGTCAATGTCAAATTAAACAAGAAGTCTTGAGACAAAGCACTGATAAAGGTGGTCTTGGAATGATTGACTTTGAAGCATATATTTACTGTTTAAAGATATATTGGATAAGAAGAATTTAATCAATAATGGTAAATGGATCGGTTTTGCATTGCCAATGTTAGATACAGAGAAATTGATTTATTGTGGTATTTGGTTTTTAGAAATAATGATTAGTGAAATAAAAATTGATTTTTGGAAGGAAACTTTGACTGGATATCATATTTTTTGTAAACCTTTATAAGCAAATGAAAATGAGTTAGTTTCTTATCCAATTTTCTATAACCCTTTAATAACTATTGGCAATCAACCTGTGTTCTCAAAGATAGTTATTCAACTGAAATAAATATGCTTTTTCTTTTTCTGAAAAGACGTATTTACAACTGTAGAGAAGAATAACAAGTACCAAAAACTACAAGAGCACATCAATATATTAAGTACCAATTTGTAATTCTTAGAGAGGAAGCAATTTATCAAAATGATTTAGATACCTTCCATAAGACCTTCAATCTCATTGTCAAAATAGAGAGCCATAGTTCCCCTTTCATATAGTTGTTAAGCTAAAAACGATAGCAAGAATTATAAATGATCAAAACTATATATTAAAATTTGCAAAGCCTTTTTTCCCCTTTTTTTTCAGGTCCAAAAAACTGTATATAATGGGAAGTTCCCTTGTTAACTGAAAAATATATTACACTATGATTATATGTAACATTGGTAATATTAAGTAGTGAATTGTAGATAAAACCTACAATACAAATTAGCAATGTATTTATTGGTTGTATTAATTCAAATATGTTCCCATATGCACACCATGTAATTTATGGGTAATAAAGTAGGGATGCCCTCGACATATATATTTACCTATTGATAAGGAAAATAAATAATATGAACAAAAAGTAACATTAATTTTAAACACATACTTTTTGACACTTTCATTGAACCTTATATAAGTATTTAATTTGTTATTGTTATATTATTTGTTAGGCATTTAATTTCATCCAGATATGAGAAAATTAAGATAAAAAGAAAAAAGAATATTTTTTAACATTTCCTAAATTTTTTTAAAAAAAGATTCTCTTTAAAGAATACGGAAAAAAATACATTTTTATGTTTTTTTATAAAATTTTATTTTAAACAAATCGTAGATCGATTGTATCAATACAACGTTGTTATACAACATTCTTTGTATCTAAGCTCTAACGTCGGAGCTTTTCGAGTGAAATTAGATTTGATTTTTCGCCGATTGGATAGTTAAGCAAGATAAGGCCTAACTCATAGAGGGGCGTTTAACGGGGATTTAACAATCTGATTTATCCCACATGTGGAAATTGTACCAGGAATTTCGCTATTAACCGTTGTTGGTGGTTTAAAATGCATAGCGTAGATCAAATGGACGTCATTTGAATCATAACTGCGTTTTAAACGGACATATTTTTGTACTGTCTTTTTTTCTAGAGCGTTTAGGATGCTATGACATGCGTGATTGGAACTTGTAATAAGTATGCTATGATAACTGTGACAGTTATATAGAAATTAACATGAAGGGTCAACTTTTGCCATATTGTGTACTTAATAAATGCAAGAGGAACTGCTTTAATTATTATAACATTGAAAAATAGAATAAATAAATAAACCTTAAAGTGACATTATGCTCCTAGTTTCATAGTCAAGTGGAGCTGAATTGACTTTATATTTCAAAAGATCGACTGTTACTATTAATGTACCTAAACTTTGATATGCTGCCCATTATTTTAATGAAATTTTAACCATTAAATAAAGGGGTTTTGGAATAATTGCTATAATTATGCATTCAATAAACCTTATCGTGAATTTGACGTCTCATTACTTTTAATGTTTTCTTCGTCTGCGCATCCTAATATCAAATAAAAAGATATTAATTAATTTTTTTATGTTTACTAATGAACTAGTAAATCATGCCACCTTTTAATGAATAAATAGATAAATAAATAAACAAATAAATAAATAAATACACAGTTTGATATAATGTGGTTTTTTTTGTATTTGATAGTTAACTTATAATAGGGATGCATGTATTTATATCGACACATCCATCTAAACACATCGGAAATAGATCAGTAAGTAAAGGATGTTTATTAAGTGGTATATTATACGTTGAGATTTAATAAATTATTATATGCCAGATTTTATTTTACGTCGCACTAAAATACAGTCAAATAGCCAATTTCTAACTTTACTGGTTGCAGAAAACCTCATATACACAAATGTATCTTTGTGCATTATTTTAAACACGGACGGGCATCTGAGAAAAAAACCAACTTTCTGTAGCTTAGCTTTAAAGCTTTATCCATTTATTCGAATCCGCAACGGTGAGGAACAACTGAATTGAAATCAACGACCTCAATGACTCTGCTACGGATGCTTTTGCGTGTCAGATAATATATGATTTCAAAGATATATGCCGTGAATGTTTTTAAACACTTCTCGTGTGCTTTCTCCAATAAGATACTTTCTGGTTATCTTTGGTGAAAGTTAGGTTGTGTAGAAAAAGTACTGTAACCAGTTGTATTACTAAAGTCTTGTGTATTGTTTGTAAATGATAACATAATTATAGACTAGAAATATTACAGTGATTCGTAAATCAGTTGATAAACGTCATTCTTTAAACATTCAAATATTTAGATTATAGTTATTTTTTAATAAAGTTTTTTCTTTCAAGGCCATGATACTAACTGTTAGCATTGCCTTAAAAAGTTTGTAAACGGGATATGTTTCTCCTGCAGGTACGTCAGATACCAAATTGTGTGATTGGAAATCAGTAAATTTCCTTTTGATATTTTGTTTTAAAGATTTAATCTACTTGCTTTTAGATAGCGTGAGCAAAGGCTTTCTTTTTCAAGTATCGTTCATAAACATGCAAATCAAACCGAGCCTCCCACATTTTCAATTTTGCCGTTTTGGAAGTTTGTTTGATTTTCCTTTAGTCACTGTTTTAATCGTTAAGCAAAAACTGTTATATGCGCTTCACTTGTTCAATATTCATATATTTATAAATAACTTTGTTTAGTGATATGCTGTGTACCCAGCCATTGTTTATGATTGTTGCTTGAGTAAGGCAAAAAGGCAAAACCCGTGTAATGCGAACACGACACCACACATTAAATAGATATCAATATTTTGTTTTCAATAAGCATCTTGTGCATTAAGTTTATCCAACACTACAACATCTTTTACATTGAAGAATATTTGAGAAGTTGCTTTACATATAATTATTTGTTTTATGTAGGATAAAGCGTTTTTAATGTATGTACATGTAAACAAATATTCATACTCACACGCCGGCTTGATTCCTACCACTATAAAGAAAAAAGTTTGACTCAAATACTTATATATTTGCTCCTGAACATTGACCAAGTTAATAAATATTGTACAACGATATTGACCTGGCACTTTTATTAACTTTCTCACAGGTAATTTGACAAACACTGGAACGAATACATCGGAAGATCACACGATAGTGAAGTGTGGTAAATTGGTATGGATGCTTGGGTATCTTGTTTGATACCTATTATGGACCAGATTGTGAAGATACACGTTTTTTTAATTTACTTAATTGAAATCGTTTTATTACATCTGGTTTAGGGATATCTTTTAAGTTGTGTTTTATGCAATATTACTCCATTACATAATCTTGAATAAAAAATGTACAGCGCGTTTATAATACAGATCTAACATTTTGCTAAAGAATAAGAAAAAAATGCATTTAAATCTGCTTTTCCATTTAAAAAGTTACAAATGCAAAAAATGCAGTTTATCTTTCTATTACTTATTCGCATATTGTACTTTACTTAATCTAGGTTGTGTATAATTTTTGTGTTCTTAAACTTAATTGCAACTGTATTCACATACTCATCCTCCTTCTCCGTGTGATAAATGTTTTCATTTAATATATATGTGCGTGCGTTTGTGTGTCTAAGTGTTTTTAATGTTTCTATGTATGCCATTGTCATGTGATTGTAAATTTTTATTATAAATTATTTGTTTAAGTTTAAACTAATAAAGTATCTATTTATATATCTATCAAAAAATAAAATACAGTCTGCCTACAGTGCGTTATGAATTTTTTTATTTGAGATTAAGCAAACACACATGAAAAGTGTATTTTTTTGGTTATTGTTATCGCACCTGTACTAGAATATTTTGTTTTTCTAACAGTTAAACACACAGGGTGATTGCAATCGACAGCGCAAATATATGTAAACTATTATATGAGAGCCAACTATTTGTCATTTTTGGTAGAACTATGGATACAGTTGGGTTTAGGGAAGAAAGTGTTCAAAAGAGGTTTTTTTATTGTTAAGAAACAAACACTCAGTTAACGGCATTTACATCTAAGCATAATAAAATGAATGAATGAATGAATGAATGAATGAATGAATGAATGAATAAATAAATAAATAAATAAACAAATAAATAAACAAACAAATAAATAAATAAAAATGCTTGATATAATGTGTTTGTGGATTGTAAATGTATTTGACAGTAACTAATATATAGGATGCATGCATTTACATGAAGAGAGCTATGTTAACAGATCGGAAATAGATCAGTTAGTAAAGGATGTATATTAAGTGGTATATTGTAATGGGTGAGATTTAACAAATGAGTATATACATGTCAGATTTTTAGATTTTGTTTTACGTCATACCATTACAGTATAGGCCAAATAGCGACGTTCTAACTTTCAATGTCTCTGCTACGGATGCCTCTCTACGTGTCAGATAATACATGATTGAAATATACATGCCGTGAATGTTTTGAAACACTTCTCATCTGCTTTCTCCTATAAGATACGTTCTGGTTATCTTTGGTGAAAGTTAGGTTGTGTAGAAAAATTACTATAACCAGTTGTATTACTAAGCTTGTATTGTTTGTAAATCATAACATTTGTATAGACTAGAAATTTTCTATTGATTGGTAAATCAGTTGATAAACGTCATTCTTTAAACAATCTTATTTTTAGATTATGGTTTTTTTTTTAGATATTTGTTTTCTTTAAAGGTCATGACACTAACTGTTATCATTGCCTTAAAAAGTTAGTAAACGGGATATGTTTTACCTGCAGGTACGTCAGATACCAAATTGTGTAATTGGAAATCAGTAAATTTAATTTTGATATTTTATTTTGTTTTAAAGATTTAATATACTTGCTGTAAGGTAGCGTGGGCAAAGGCTTTCTTTTTTTCCAGTATCGTTAAACATGCAAAACCAAACCGAGCCTGCCACAATTTTTGTTTGCCGTTTTGGAAGTCTGTTTGGTTTTCATAATTTCACTATTTTAATTGTAAATCTAAACAAACTTCATATGCACTTTACTTATGCAATATTCTATTCATCATATATTTCTTTGTTTGGTGCTCTACTGGGTACCTAGATTTTTAAACACATATCTAATTCACTTTACTTCAGAGATATCAATCTTTTGTTTTATATTTTATGACTTAAGATTATAAAACAATACATGATCTCAGAACATTTTCGAACTTGTTATACATATCATTATTTATTTCATGTAAGATAACGCGTTGTTGATTTATACATGTAAACAAATATTAATACTCACACGACGGTTTGATTCCTACCACTATAAAGAAAATAACACCTGTAAATCCTAAACGAAGCGATTCCATTATGATTTGCTTAAATATAACAGGTTTTTCTTTCTCTTAAACAACGTACACATACTTCTTAAATATGACAGAGTTTTAATCAACGTTCACATACGGAATTCAATCTCGATCTTAAGCATATTTGAATAGAAAGTAAGAAAATAGATGGTAATTATGAACATTTAAAGTGTCTAGATATATCGGAAGTAGGTAAGGAAGAAAATGATGTAAATTAAGTGCTATCTTGTAACATCAATGAATGCAACAAATTATTCTATAAACCATTGTAAGGCACTTGAAAATAGTCATATTTAATGAGATGTGTACAGATATGCCCCGATGAACTGTTCATGAGTAAATAACTTAATATGTTATATCATTTGTACAGTTTGATGATTTTTCTCTGGAATGATATTTTGCGCATGTAATGAAACATATGTAATTCATAGAAGTTTAAAACGGAAATTTATTGAAAGAAGAAATACATCCACCACAATATACTTACTTTTTCTTCCTTTTTAAAAGCACTTAAAAAATTGAAAACAACTTTTACATATTAGATACATGCCTTTGGTAAAACAAAAATATTTACGTAATACATGTACATGTATCATATTGATGGATTATTTAGATTAAAAAGTTAAGGGGTGAAAACGATTTCATTAAAGATAGCTTAAATCACGCACTGATATATTTCTCACATGTTTGGTCAAATTCTTATGTATTCTTGGTAATCTAATGAAAAAAAAGTTACGAGCTGGTTGTTTTAAATTATGTCACGTGTCTGATCATGTGGAGGTAGCCGGTTGTCTATTATCTTACGTGTCTGTTCATGTGGGGGAGCTTGTTGTCAATTATCTCACATGCTTGGTCAGGAGAGGGGTGGTTGTCGATTGTGTTTGATCAGAAGGTGGGCCTTGGTTGTTGATTATCTGTTCATGTAAAGGAAGTTGGTTGTCGATTATTTCTCTTGTCTATTCATGTGGGGGAGATGGTTGTCGATTATCATACGTGTGTGATCAGTGGGGAGCTGGTTGTCGTTTGTGTTTGACCCGAAGGTGTGCCATAGTTGTCGGTTATCTGTTCATGTGAAGGGAACTGGTTGTCGATTATTCCTCTTGTCTTATCATGTGATAGGAGATGGTTGTTCCCGATAATCTCACGTGTCTGCTCATCACACATGAAGTCGAATACTTCCTAATATAATCCATTAATTCACGATTTCATCAATGAAAGTTAGATTACGATTTCGATTACATCATCTATTTGTTAAACTGTAATCGATTGAATTACAATTTCTCTAAAAATATAGTCGATAACAATAACGATTACTTTTCATTGTGTTCATAGCAGTAAACAGATAAAAGAACTTAAATAAAACTGACATTTTTCACAAAACATGGACACAGAACTTTTGCGGCACACAATTTGCAAAATTTTACAAAGTAACCAGGATGCCTGACATGGATCTTTTACTAAATTTAAATGTTTAAGCTGCATTTTATCATATTTTTTTTTTCAAAAATGTTTTATTGTTTTATCACTCAGTCTAAAGCGCTCTGGACGAACTATTTTGCCTTGCCGTCTGTCCGTCTGTCCGTTTGGATGTCCATTCGTCCGCATTAAGCTTGTCCGCCCTTCACAGGTCAAACTACTGGTAGGACTTCAACAAAACTTTACAGGAGTGATCAGTACCATCCCTAGTTATGCATAATAACGGCACGTTTCGCTTCGATGTACAAAATAGTTGTCAGAGCTTCAAAAAAATCTTTTCCGGCTTTCACAGGACAAGCTACTGGTGGGATTTCAATGAAACTTCACATGAGTGACCATACATAGTTTTGAGAGACATATGTTTTTGTGACAAAAACTCTTTTAGTTATGAAACTGTTTTAAAAGATCCGATTCATATTGAAACATGCTCATAATTAAATTGCTCAGATTTATTTTTTAAAAGCATTTTTACTTGATTAACGAAAACACAAAAGAAACAAAATAATATTTAAAACAAAAAAATGGGGGCTTAACCATCTCATAATTTCATTACCTGCCTGGAATAAGAACCTCTTTTCTAGTTTTAGATAGTTTTAAGGGCAATTACGTAACTTGCAATCAAACTAAGCTGAGCATTATTCCAATGATTAAATATGTATGACCTCCTATTGGGCAATTGTGCAGAAGTTAAAGGAATGGTATAGAAACTTTTGTATATTCTTACTCGTCAACAGCTTTTGAATTGTCCCTAAAAAGAAAACACATCATAATAATAATTTCAGAGAATTCTAGGCTATGAAGTTTTTGTTTTGATAAGAATAAAAAGTAAAGCGTCACACAAGACTACTTGAAGTAGTTTATGTCCTGAGTCAAACGTGACCTGTTCTTAGAAAATAATTTCTGGATACTAGTCTAGTAAATTGCTGAAAATGTTAGAAATATTGATAGTTCAACATTGTATATCAGGTCTTTTTGTTTACTAACTTAAGCAAGGTAATGTTTAAAATTTTATCAACTAATACTAATCAGTATAAACAAGAAGACTTTAACCAATTATTTATAATTCTAAAACGACCCGCATTTTTCCCTATTGAACATAGAAGAACCGAAAGTGTGTGTTTTATGCTATAAAATCTTTGTTTGACGTTCTATATTTAGAAATGTGACGTAATCATTATACACGTCACGTAACCACTAAAAATGTGATGCGCTGATAATAAGTACGGAAAGAAATCAGGCGCAATTAAGCTAATTATAATGTACGGCTGCATTTATTTGTTGATGTCGTGTTAGATCGAAATAATATATCCAAATCGGTGATTATATTGCTTGATAATATCACTGTGTGTTATTCGGATGCGCATCATTATATCACTCGGGCTATAATTCCGCGCATCCGAACTCCAAACAGTGATGTTATTGAGCAATAAAATCACAGTTTGGGGTATATTATTTCTTAATAAACACCTATTCATCTAGTATCTGAATGTCTGTCAAGTTAAGGTAAATAATTTATTGTTATTGTGATTCTAGAAAGTGTAAATAAAAATCAAAAAAGGCTGAACAAATGACATGCTCATTGATTTTCAAATAACATTAAACAACCTCATGCATTTAACGAAATGCGGCATGATTTCACTTATTTTTGTGAACAGTTGTGGAAAGAAGTAAACGAAAAGAAATTATTTAATCTAAGTAAACAACAACGGCATTTAGATTTATAATTTGTTGAATTTTTTCCAACAAAAAAAATGAAATAAGAAATCAACTATTTGTAATATCAGAAAATACATTAAAAGCGTTGCCCCTAGAATGCAGTCCCGAAATTCGCAGCAAGTCAGTAAGTTAGCAGCTCAATCTTACAAATGGAATCTCAAAATCAAAGTTATCAAATAGAAAGAGCTGCAAAAGTCTAAACTGTATCTCATATAAAGTCATGAATGACTAATTTCAATAATGCCAAACACCTAGTTTGATAACAAAAAAACCCAAGATATTTTTGTTCAATATCATTATCATTTCTTGTATATTCACAAAACTTTGTAAAAATAATGACATAATAAGAGTCTGATTACGTTATCTTTGACAAAAAATATGCTGCTTAAATTACTAATGAAAAAAGAACTCGCAGCTGCAGTGAGACGATCACAAGGATGATGCAAACTAAATTTATTTAATAAAAGAATTGACAGGAAAAGAAACCCTCCTTGACATTAACTAGAATAAATCATACTGAACATTTGGTTCGAATAAGCTAAGGAATTGTGTGCAAATAAATATTCAATAAATATTCAATACAATAGAGGATTAATTCATCAATTTCATGCATATACATCTACAGAAGCGCGAGGACGCATTCTGAGCCCTCATTTTATGTGCTCAGAATTCAATTTCTGTAGATGTTGATGCACCAAATTAATGTGTTAGAGTCAATCTGTTTAGGTGATTCTACGATATGTTGTTTTCCGCATAAAGAAACTGGTTTTGTATTGATTTTAAATCGCTTGTGATTTATGTTTCAATAATAAGGTAACTGGTGGCCATCATTAAGATCAGCGCTTTTGCATGGTGTCAGAATCGTGCAAATTAACAAGAGCTATCGTATCGGCAGGACATCATAGAGTGCACGACTGTTCTCTGTGCTTGATAACTAAACATAAACAACATAGATTATGAAGAATTTTCTATATTTAAAAGGGACATAATTCTGTCAAAATCCATGATAGAGTTATTGACCTTTAACAGTGACCTTCTTTTATGCTTTAAAGTAAGTGTATTAGGGTTAAACGTATTCCATCATGTAATTTTTACAAAACCCACTTGCATGAAAAACCGAACTGTTAAGCTGAAGCCTTTGGTGTACAATATCGCTCCCTAATCTTTGAAATATCAAGCTAAATGATGTGTTCGAATGGTTTTATCCATAAATGCAAGTTTTTTCTCTCTGTAAATGTACACCTGTGTGTGCATTTTATGCAGGAATGCCACAATTTTTAGTGTGTTATATGTTTGAAAAGTGTTGATCTTAATTATAGAAATTTGTCAAAATATCATCATTTTATGGCGGCCATATTGGATTTTGAAGCTATTTTGAATGTTGTACCAATGCTACTACAGCATTTCAAAGAAATTACTATTATTGACCTATAATGTCAATTTATATCATTTTAATGCCATAAATAACTTAATTCTGTCACGCCCCGTGTACATTGTACATTTTGGCGGCCATTTTGGATTTTGGCGGCCATCTTTGACTTTAAAAAAGTGGATCCAAGGCTAAAATAACTTGGAATGGCATGTCTTGGCATGCCGAGTTTCATGCCTTCACAGAAGGTGCACAATTTTTTCACGTATTTATTAAAAAAAAATTCTCGGACTATATTACAAAAAATCATGAACTGGTTTCTAACTTCTATTGCGCGATGATACCAATTATCTTCAATAAGGGGACAACAAGCTAGGTATTATTGTACAAAATCAGTTATTGAGTTCACAAATACTTGTTTAAACCTCAGGCAGAATATAAAAGTTGTTTGTTACTGATAAAAAAGGTGAAAATATTTATTGGATATAATTAAGTCATAACTTAGTCTGAAGGATTGTTTATAGTCAAACAGTTAAATTAAATAACTCAGTTTTAAATGAAACTTTAAAGAAAGTAAAACTTTTTAAATTAAATGAATTTCAGCTTTAATTGGATCTGTTAAAAATAAAACTAGTTTAACATATTAAAAACTAAGAATTTTAGA